ATTTAGAGCAGCACAAAAAAGAAAATTCTGAACAAAAAAATAGAGAGAGAGAGAGAGAGAGAGAGAGAGAGAGAGAACCCAAATTTAAAGTCAAGCTTATTACAACTATTTGCATTAACATCATTATTCCAATAATCTGAGCAACTCCAGGTAACGGACCAAGGTCCTTTTTGGTGTGCCTAGAAATCAAGACCATTGCCAGGCATGAGGGAAGAAAGGCTCTGTTTTCAGTATCAATCCATGTATCTTCATGTTACTGGGCACAAGTATTTTTTTAATTGTTTTTCTGGATCTCTGCTTGGTTATTGAGGTTCTTGATATTTTTCATTAATCCATGCTCATTTTTGATGATCAAAAAAGTTCACATCCACACAGATTCTGTTATACCCAGAGGCATTCTCACCCCCAGAATGAGCATCACCAGCTTTGGCAACCAAGGTGAAAAGCGAAGGCCATGGTCCAGGCCCTGTGTAAGCCAGCTGTCTTCCCTCTGCTCCATATGGTCAAATTCAATTCAAACCTGACCTCTGTCATTCCCAATAGATACCTTCTGTTAGAAAGAACTCCAGAAAGGGGAGACGTGGGTGACAGTAATGTAAAATTGTATTTTGCTTTTGAATATACACATGTAATTATCCATTTATGATCCAGAATGTAAAACCAAATCATTTGAGGACTGCCAGCATTTTATTGAATAGGTCAATACATAGGACTATTTATTCAGTAAGCTTATTTGAATATTGCTCTGTCCCAGGCTCTATGCTAAATGATAAGATTCTCTAATATGTAAGTCCTAGGAAAAGCCTTCAGTGAAATCTTTGTAAGAGAAGAGGGAGGGGTACAAGAAGGAAAAGTAAAGGGGGGGAGAGATGAGTTTCCTGAATGAACATCTGGAGGAAATGTCAAGGTTGGAGTTTAGAGAGGAATCAGTGTGCCAAGGAGAGTGAGATGAGTGTGCACAGAAGCAGAAAGTGCAGCACACATTTAAACAGTGTGCAGCATCCCGTATCAGCAGAGTACACATCATGCAGGATTGGTTTTTGTTCCATTGACTTAACAAATGTTTAGCAAACCCTCACTGAACAGGGGTATTTAGAGAAGCCAGGAGCTTCGGATAATAGCAGAATTAAGGCAGGAAGCTACAAAATGACCTTTGAAAGCAAATCACTTTCCATGAGGGAGAACAACACAAAAGGATCATTTCATCCATTCCTGCTCATCAGCTTGAGAGAAGCAGAGAGCAGGCAGGTAAAACAGACTCTAAAACTCCAGAGAATGGAGCTAATTAAATAAAGCTGGGCCTAATTTTATTTGCATATTCCCTTTTTAAGCTACTTAACATAGATACCCTATGGGTCTGAATCTCCTGGATGAGCAGGTGTTAGGCCTGGGAGGACTGGGAGGGGCAGCACAATCTCAGCTCTGGCACAGAGGTATAAAACACCATGAGTTAGAATCCTTTCTGTATTTCGAGAGACTAAGTTGCAAAGCAACAAATATCAAAGGGGTCAGATCATGCAAGGCCTGGGTATATGGTTTAATTTTTGTTTGTCTGGTACAAAATGAATGCCTCTGGAGTGTCTCCACTGTTCCTACTATGCTTTTCATGTTTCTCTCAAATAAATGAAACTCTTGACTTTAAACAGCCAACTTTGGATTGCTATGTATTCAGGGGTGGGAGTGTCACACCCACATACCCAACTCACTTCTGAGGCCGAGTACATCATTTGCAAAGATTTCTGGGTTTCAGAAACTTTTTTCTAGTCTCTCTCTCTCTCTCTCTCTCTCTCTCTCTCTCTCTCTCTCTCCCTCTCTCCTCTCTCTCTCCTCTCTCTCTCTCCCTCTTTCTGCCAGAATAAATAGGATGAGTTTGTGTTGACATTTCCACATAATCTCTTCTGCTCTGGATGAGTCAAAATTATAAACCACTGATAAAAATTAAGAGTTGTGCATTCATCCTCATGGCCCTTTTGTGCCTGGAGACCGGAAGGGCCTGTCTCTTCCTGAGTAACAGGTGGCTAGCAATCCCTTCTGCATGAGCAGAGGTGTCTGAACCATGAACTTGCCTTAACTCCAGCTCTGAACTCCTACCTTTCCTCTTTTGAGCACAGGTTCTGTGAGCACAGGCGGAGCACTGTGGTGCTGAATTTGCCTGGACTTGAGGTGTTCCCCGGGGACCTTCTGGTGTCTGATGGAGCTGCTGATTATCTGTGCCACCCACTGCTGCTGCTGAATCCAGGTCCCATTTCCTTCTGTCTATGTCCACTGCATGCTTGTTACAGGGCAGATATTGTTATAAGCAAGAAAGATCTTTCCAAATGATTAAGACCTAGTAGAATCCAGGGACTGACCCATTCGAAGGGAAGCCTTGCCAATTAGAACAGGCACAAGGCATGAGTGACTAGAGTCAGAAGACTACCAGTCTTGTATCAGGCATTCCATTTACAGAGATAGGACATGGGTCTATCCTCAGAATGTCGTCTTATCAAATTATTCATCCCAGGTCCAGCTGGACCAGGGAAGGTGACCATTTGGGATCAGAATGCTCTTGTTGGACTGGTAAGCATCTTATCTGTGGTTGCTGTAACTTATATTTGATCCACTCCTGTTCTTCAGCCTCACAGTCACACACAGGAAACAGGGTCCCCTCTTTAGGTTCTTAGTCCCACTAATAAAAGAATTTAAGAGTGGAGTTAGAGGGATGGCTTAGAAATTAAGAGCACTGGCTGCTCTTGCAGAAGAGCCGGGTTCAGTTCCCAGCACTCATATGACAACTAACAACTGTCCATAACTCCAGCTCCAGGGGATATAATGCCCTCTTCTGACATCCATGGGCATTGCACAACACAGGTACACTTAGATACACGCAGGCAATACACTCATACACATAAAATAAAAATGAAAGAATTTAAGAGTGAACTCAAATGGAAGTTTAAGGACAATTTTATTAGAGTTTGAAAGGAAAACCTCCAGGATTGGCAAGTTGTAAATCTCAGCAGTCACCCAGTGGAGAAGAATGGATGAGAGAAAGAAAAAAACCAAGGCATTTTAAAGCCAGCATGGAGGTCAGATATGTGGTGAACTAGCAGCCACATAGCAGGGAAGAGAACTTCAAAGAAAGAGTAAAGAAACCCAAAATGTTGGGGCAGCCCAGGGTGTTAGGGAAAGCATGCTTAGAAAAGAGACAGAAAGAATAAAAGTAGAGGTTATGCTTCTCCAAAGAATTCAAAAAAGCTTACAGACTTCCAGAGCTACATGGCTACTGCCTGACCACAAGCTACTACACTAGGGGGACAGGGATTCTGGGCAGGAAAAGTTCACCTTCTCATTAACACACTAGCTATTCTATCTTGTTAGTAAGACTTAAGGTGAGCCTGACTTCCTAGGGGTGGTCCCATGGCCAGGTGACTGACCTGGCAAAACTACTAGGTCTCCACCCAGGCCTTAGGGGGCCTTTCTGGCTACAGTAATAACCGTAGTGTCTTCCAACCAGAGTTCCATAAGTGATGGTGGCAAATGGACATCTTATAGAGGCAGGGTGGGTCATTAGCTGTGATACAATATGACACTTGGAATATTGGGGGACTTTCCTCGTGGTTCTGAGGACAAGCACATCAAAGCCCTGAAAGCTAGAGTACTTAAATTTTATCCATGTGGGTGGCTTTTAAGCTGCTTTTGTTCTTAGTGGGTCCCACTTCACAAACGAATCTTTTCTTGGAAATCCAACATATACAACAGACCTAGAGAAGTTGCATTGATTGGATTTGGGTTGGAGCCCAAAGACTCAGGCACCTCCTTTAATGCTTCACAAATGCTCTTAACCCATTCACAACTAGAGCAGTGGTTGCCAAAGCCTGGTCTCGGGCCAGCAGCTTCCGTAGCACCTGAGAATTTGTCAGAAATGCAGATTCCAAAGCCCCAGCCCATATTTTAAGAATCAGAAATTCTGGGATTGGTGTCCAGCAATTGGGTTATTAACAAGCCCTGCGGGTGATTCGGATGCCAACTGAAGTTTTAGAATTGAGGTCTTGGATCCCAGGACCATGGTCTAAAGCACTAACTCTCAAGCTTTGCTGTATGTAGTGTTGCTATGCAGATATTACTTATTCAACAAAGGATAATATTTAAGGCAGATAATGAAAGTGTGTATTTAATAAAGATTCACTTAAATCTTCTCAACACAATGATTTTCCAAGGTTCCAAATTATCCTTAAAGTTTAGAGAAAAAGGAAAGAAATTTACAAAGGGCCAGGATGTCCAGTTATTGCAGTCCAAATTGGATGGGATAATTTTACTGGTCATTCGAGGGCTAAGTGTGGTAAATCTAATCTTTAAAGATGACTCCACCTACTCTCCCCTCTGTAACATCAGTCATGTGGCTGCAATGGATGAGAGGGTAATTAGGTAGACTTATTACGTCCTGTCCAAGATGACAATAAAAACCATATTCAAGCGATAAATGCTGGCCAGGCAGTTAATTCCAGCTGAGTGAAGCACTACGAAGACAGTCCTGCTGAATCTGACAAGAGTCAAGCTAGAAGACATCTCTTGTATACTGAGCAATCAAAACATGAAGCTAAGAAACTGTTCCCAGTTTATCCTGAGTAGCATAAAAGACAGAAAAATCAAAAGGCCAGGATGTAATTTCCTGGTCATCAAAAGAATATGTGATTGAATAATGGCTTCCTTCCCAGCCTAGAGCAACTTCTAAGGACATTGGGATGGTGGCCAGTAGCAGCCCCAACATGAAGATGAGCAACGCATTGGTGCTTCCTATTTCAATAGCATTGTTTAAGAATAGCTGAAGATGTCTGGGTTGATGACGGCTTCAAGTCTCCAGTTTGATCAGGCTATTGCTGTTGCATAGGGTGGGACAGTCTATGGTGCGATAATGTGAAAATAAAGGTCAGTCTATTCGGCCCCAAAGTGCTATAATTCTCTAGCTTAAATGAATGGCTCAACATACTTACCACAGTTCATAGACTTCTCTCCAATTAATAGGAGAAAGGAAGCTAAATCCAACAGCCCAGTAAAGAAACAATACCATATTACCTTAAGGCAGTAGACCATGAACCTTTAGCTTACAACATTGCATCATTCATTTATCTGCAAAACTGTAAATACTCATTCAGGGCATTCTCAGCAAAAGGTGAATAACAGCACAGTGAATTATACTCAGCTCATTTTCAAAAAGACACTTTTCTCAAGCACTATGGTGATCTTTGCCTAGTTACTACAAGTAACGATATATTTTCTTTTATGTCACCCATAAGAATCCAAAAAACCAAGATGGCCTTTCTCCAAGAGAGGAGTGGTAAGTGTCACACATTGTTGTTTTTATCTTTAGTTAAGTCTTTTGTAGGTAAGAAAGTAAGAGATGGCTTAAGAGTGCTTAACTCTGTTTTATCTTTGCATAAAGGTAGATGGCTCAGGAAAGGTAAATGATATCATCACAGCCATAGTGTGGGCTCCAGAACGTGCCAAGCAGCGCCATTTCATGCAGCAAAACAGTGCTAATTGCCAGCAGTTAATGAGTTCTTCAGAAAAGAAAAGCAATTCTAACATAGCGATGCTTTGCACACTGAAATTATACTTGATATGACTTAGAAACAGTTCACTTGATGAAATAAAATTCACCTGTGTATATACCCTAGGTTGCAATCAGCACCATGCATGTGGGGGACATTAAAAAATTAATATTACAGGGTCAGATTCCACAGGTACACATTTCTATTTCTGAGAAACTCAGCTAATTGGTCCTAGCGGATTTTTAAAATTCATTTGCAGTTTTGTCAATTATTGAAGAGTAATCGATCTAAATCAATAGTCTTTGAGTCTTTATGATATAAAACAAGGGTGGGGTTGTCCTTGGACAAGAATTTCCTTCTTGTGCACTGTGGGCAGAGGGAGGAGACGTTCACTATTGAAATTGGACTCTGCATTCACGTTTTCTGGAGAAAAAAGAAAGGCTGGTGCTACGTTCTCCCCATTGGTGCAGTCTGCAGTACACACCACAGCAGTACACACCACAGCAGTACACACCACAGCACTAATACACACCACAGCAGTACACACCGCAGCAGTACACACCGCAGCAGTACACACCGCAGCAGTACACACCGCAGCAGTACACACCGCAGCAGTACACACCGCAGCAGTACACACCGCAGCAGTACACACCGCAGCAGTACACACCGCAGCAGTACACACCGCAGCAGTACACACCGCAGCAGTACACACCGCAGCAGTACACACCGCAGCAGTACACACCGCAGCAGTACACACCGCAGCAGTACACACCGCAGCAGTACACACCGCAGCAGTACACACCGCAGCAGTACACACCGCAGCAGTACACACCGCAGCAGTACACACCGCAGCAGTACACACCGCAGCAGTACACACCGCAGCAGTACACACCGCAGCAGTACACACCGCAGCAGTACACACCGCAGCAGTACACACCGCAGCAGTACACACCGCAGCAGTACACACCGCAGCAGTACACACCGCAGCAGTACACACCGCAGCAGTACACACCGCAGCAGTACACACCGCAGCAGTACACACCGCAGCAGTACACACCGCAGCAGTACACACCGCAGCAGTACACACCGCAGCAGTACACACCGCAGCAGTACACACCGCAGCAGTACACACCGCAGCAGTACACACCGCAGCAGTACACACCGCAGCAGTACACACCGCAGCAGTACACACCGCAGCAGTACACACCGCAGCAGTACACACCGCAGCAGTACACACCGCAGCAGTACACACCGCAGCAGTACACACCGCAGCAGTACACACCGCAGCAGTACACACCGCAGCAGTACACACCGCAGCAGTACACACCGCAGCAGTACACACCGCAGCAGTACACACCGCAGCAGTACACACCGCAGCAGTACACACCGCAGCAGTACACACCGCAGCAGTACACACCGCAGCAGTACACACCGCAGCAGTACACACCGCAGCAGTACACACCGCAGCAGTACACACCGCAGCAGTACACACCGCAGCAGTACACACCGCAGCAGTACACACCGCAGCAGTACACACCGCAGCAGTACACACCGCAGCAGTACACACCGCAGCAGTACACACCGCAGCAGTACACACCGCAGCAGTACACACCGCAGCAGTACACACCGCAGCAGTACACACCGCAGCAGTACACACCGCAGCAGTACACACCGCAGCAGTACACACCGCAGCAGTACACACCGCAGCAGTACACACCGCAGCAGTACACACCGCAGCAGTACACACCGCAGCAGTACACACCGCAGCAGTACACACCGCAGCAGTACACACCGCAGCAGTACACACCGCAGCAGTACACACCGCAGCAGTACACACCGCAGCAGTACACACCGCAGCAGTACACACCGCAGCAGTACACACCGCAGCAGTACACACCGCAGCAGTACACACCGCAGCAGTACACACCGCAGCAGTACACACCGCAGCAGTACACACCGCAGCAGTACACACCGCAGCAGTACACACCGCAGCAGTACACACCGCAGCAGTACACACCGCAGCAGTACACACCGCAGCAGTACACACCGCAGCAGTACACACCGCAGCAGTACACACCGCAGCAGTACACACCGCAGCAGTACACACCGCAGCAGTACACACCGCAGCAGTACACACCGCAGCAGTACACACCGCAGCAGTACACACCGCAGCAGTACACACCGCAGCAGTACACACCGCAGCAGTACACACCGCAGCAGTACACACCGCAGCAGTACACACCGCAGCAGTACACACCGCAGCAGTACACACCGCAGCAGTACACACCGCAGCAGTACACACCGCAGCAGTACACACCGCAGCAGTACACACCGCAGCAGTACACACCGCAGCAGTACACACCGCAGCAGTACACACCGCAGCAGTACACACCGCAGCAGTACACACCGCAGCAGTACACACCGCAGCAGTACACACCGCAGCAGTACACACCGCAGCAGTACACACCGCAGCAGTACACACCGCAGCAGTACACACCGCAGCAGTACACACCGCAGCAGTACACACCGCAGCAGTACACACCGCAGCAGTACACACCGCAGCAGTACACACCGCAGCAGTACACACCGCAGCAGTACACACCGCAGCAGTACACACCGCAGCAGTACACACCGCAGCAGTACACACCGCAGCAGTACACACCGCAGCAGTACACACCGCAGCAGTACACACCGCAGCAGTACACACCGCAGCAGTACACACCGCAGCAGTACACACCGCAGCAGTACACACCGCAGCAGTACACACCGCAGCAGTACACACCGCAGCAGTACACACCGCAGCAGTACACACCGCAGCAGTACACACCGCAGCAGTACACACCGCAGCAGTACACACCGCAGCAGTACACACCGCAGCAGTACACACCGCAGCAGTACACACCGCAGCAGTACACACCGCAGCAGTACACACCGCAGCAGTACACACCGCAGCAGTACACACCGCAGCAGTACACACCGCAGCAGTACACACCGCAGCAGTACACACCGCAGCAGTACACACCGCAGCAGTACACACCGCAGCAGTACACACCGCAGCAGTACACACCGCAGCAGTACACACCGCAGCAGTACACACCGCAGCAGTACACACCGCAGCAGTACACACCGCAGCAGTACACACCGCAGCAGTACACACCGCAGCAGTACACACCGCAGCAGTACACACCGCAGCAGTACACACCGCAGCAGTACACACCGCAGCAGTACACACCGCAGCAGTACACACCGCAGCAGTACACACCGCAGCAGTACACACCGCAGCAGTACACACCGCAGCAGTACACACCGCAGCAGTACACACCGCAGCAGTACACACCGCAGCAGTACACACCGCAGCAGTACACACCGCAGCAGTACACACCGCAGCAGTACACACCGCAGCAGTACACACCGCAGCAGTACACACCGCAGCAGTACACACCGCAGCAGTACACACCGCAGCAGTACACACCGCAGCAGTACACACCGCAGCAGTACACACCGCAGCAGTACACACCGCAGCAGTACACACCGCAGCAGTACACACCGCAGCAGTACACACCGCAGCAGTACACACCGCAGCAGTACACACCGCAGCAGTACACACCGCAGCAGTACACACCGCAGCAGTACACACCGCAGCAGTACACACCGCAGCAGTACACACCGCAGCAGTACACACCGCAGCAGTACACACCGCAGCAGTACACACCGCAGCAGTACACACCGCAGCAGTACACACCACAGCAGTACACCCCACAGCACTAATACACACCACAGCAGCAGTATACACCACAGCAGCAGTACACACACCACAGCACTAATACACACCACAGCAGCAGTACACAGACCACAGCACTAATACACACCACAGCACTAATATACACCACAGCAGCAGTACACACACCATAGCACTAATATACACCACAGCACTAATACACACCACAGCACTAATATACACCACAGCAGCAGTACACACACCACAGCACTAATACACACCACAGCAGCAGCCGCCAAGCCTCATGTGAACTCACTGGGCCTTGTTCTATCAAAATCTACCCACATGGTCTCTCCAACCAATCTGTCACCAGTTGCTGGGGTCTGCATTGTTCTATCCACACAAATATCTTACTATTTTTTAAAGCCCAGTTCCTCTGAGGATCTGGAGAGATATCTCAGTTAGCAAAATGATTGCTATGCAGTCAAAAGAACCAATGTTAGAAAGCCTCTGAACCCATGTAAAAAAGCTGGGAATCATATTTATGATCTTAGAGCTGGGAGGTGGGGGTGGCCACAGAGAGAGAGAGAGAGGCAGATCCCTGTAGCTTGCTGGCCACCCACCCTAGCCTACTTGGTGAGCTCCAGGTCTCTAACCTTTACACATGTGTACACATGCATACATCTGCATCCACGTGGTGCAGTTTGTATGACACACACACACACACACACACAAACACACACAGTCTTAATTAATTAAAAATAAAATAAATAAAAGCCCTCTGCATTTCCAATTCCAGCAGTCTCAATTACAGTTCCATGACTTTGGCCACATAAATCAACCCTGTCTGCTTGAAAGTCATAATGGCTGTGGAACCTATAGTACTAGTGACTATAACAAGAGAACTTCTCCAGGGCTGGGAACTTGTCAACACTCTAGATGTATTGGTCACATTAGACTTTTTGAGACGGGGTCTCCCTGTAGCCCCCAGTGGCCTGGTACTTGCTATGTAGACCAGACTGGCCTCAGTCTCACAGAGACCTGCCTGCTCTTGCCTCCTGAGTTCTGGAATTAAAGGCATGCACCACCACACCTTGCTAGTAGTTGTATTTTTTTTAATATTTTATTTATTTTTATTTTATATGTATGAATATATTGCCTGCATTATGTAAATGCACCTGTGTTGTGCAATGCCCATGGAGGTCAGAAGAGAGCATCAGATTCCCCTGGAACTGGAGCTACAGACAAATTGTTAGCTATCATGTGGGTACTGGGAATGAAACCCAGGTCTTCTGCAAGAGCAGCCAATGCTCTTAACCAATGAGCTATCTCTCCAGTCCCATAGGAGTTATATTTTTAATTGGACCTTGGAAAACTACTTGCTTTTTGTAATCAACTATATGATTGACTTTTACATTATTTGTTCAAAACTAAGCAGTTTGTATGGGACAAAATCTAAGTTTTATGAGCTGTAAAATATAAATTGATGATAACAGGACCAGGCGTGGTAGCACACTCTATTAATCCCATCACTGAGGAGGCAGAAGTAGGCGGATCTCTGTGAGCTCAAGGCCAGCCTGGTCTACATAACGAGTTCGATTTCCAAGCCAGCTGGGGGCTACATGGAGACCCTGTCTTAAAATCAACCAACCAACAAAATTTGATGATAACATGTCAGTTCCATGGTCACTGGGCTGCTGCTCATCAGCCATTCACAGATGTATGGACTATTTTCTTAGCAGGTCTGAGACAAGGCAGCCTCTCCCAAATGCCTTCCTCATATAAACAGAGGGTGAACAAACCGTAGTCAGGACTGAGATCTGAGAAGGAGGATCATTTTCCCCTAGTCATCCTGAGGCTTCTTCCAAGGCAGCAAGTTCTCAGAGATGTCTAGGAGATTGACTGGGCTTTCAGAAGGAAAGGGCCTAGTTAAGGAAGGAATGGCCTGCAGATTGGAATCCATCCATTCCATTATGGATCCCCATAAAGGAGTAGCTCTTTCTGATGTGTGTGCTAGACAAGTGTATGTACCGAATGCTGGGCTTTATATCTAAGATACTGAGTGAGAAGGTCAGATTGGTATGTAAACAGTAGGGAGGATGCTAAATTGTACTCTAGGGTAAAAGCGTGGTGATACATAAAGGAAGAATGATAGAGTCCATATTTTTAAAGGTGTCAGGCCAGTGAGATGGCACAGAGGGTAAGGGCACTTGCCACCCTCTGGAAACCCACTTTTAATACCCAGAAACCACATAGTGAAAGGAAAGAACCAACTTCCACAAACTGACCTCTGACCTGCCCCCCCTTGCTATGGCAGGAGAATGCTCCACCCCCCCACACATACAAAGTAAATAAATAATAAATAGGAAAAAATGGAAATTTTAAATAGCATTGTATTTTCATATAACCTAAACACATTTTTCTGCATACTTTAAATCATCCATAGTGTACTTAGCATACCCAGAACTATCTAAATGCTTAAATGCAGTTATTATGTAGTATTGTTCATGGAGTAATAAAGGGAAAAAGCTCTGCATATGTTCAGTATAGGCAATATTTATAGTAGTTTTGGTTTATGGTTGATTGAATCCATAAATGTAGAGGCTATAGCCACTGAAGTCGGACTGCAGTGAAATGATTGAAAGCTTTCATCAAACGTTCTGAGCAATGAAGAAAACGTCATTTCTTGAAGCCCTATTTTCACAAGGATACAGTGTTTGGTTCCCTTAAAGTCCGTATGCCTAACTTCATCCTCTTAGTCTTATTTGCCAAATATTTCCTGTCTATATAAGTGATACTCCCCATAAATATGCCCCACTTCTAACTTACAGGGGATTTTCCTGGTCTTTTTCTTTTTCTTCTTCCCCTCCTTCCTTTCTTCCCAATCATCAATAACAATATTAGTAATAAAGGTAGCCTACGGAATGTCACTACATCACAAGGCATTGCTTCTGTTTACATGTGTCCTCACTTACATATGTCATCATTTATGTACACAGACTCATAAATTCTTACCCAATCCAACAAGGTGACATTTAGCCCATTCACAAACAGTGAAACAGGTTCTGAGAAGTGGAGTGGTCTGCCTGAAGTCACACAGCTCTTAAGAAGTAGAAGAGGGTTTGTCCCCAGAAGTCACACGCAGTTTAGCTCTGAGTCTGTTCTTAAGAAAGATCTCCATTAGCCCCAAACATGAAACAATTCTTGCTTTGCAAACAAGCCTGTCTGGCACCTCAACCATAGGTTTCTGCAAACAGGGCCTGCTATTAGAGAAAGAACGCAGAATCTTTCTCTCACAAGCCCTCCCAACACCCTTATCGTCTATCAAGGAAGAATGCAGGCTTAAATCCTCTACCCAACCCCCTGCCTCTGTTTACCTACATAAAAGTACTTAAGCACCCCTGCTGTTTGGCTCATGTGGCTACTGCAGACTCCCGCTGGTCAGTAGTCACCCCTCATTGACTTATAAAGATCAATATGGATTGTCTGCCATTGGTGTCTTTTCCTTTCCTGTCTGCAACTCTCTGAACTCTTAACCCTAATATTTACTGGGAAAGAGTTCTCCCCTGGGAGAGATTTAAAACGTCTAATTCCTGACATGTCGTAGCCCCCACACTGCACCCTTCTATCAACTGTAGGAGTTCCCATAACTAGACCTGGACAGTCCTTCCTCCTTTCTGTCATCTCAATCCTCAAAGAACCTGACTGTCTTTCTGATTCAACACTGTCTCATGGCAAATGTTCCATCCAGTCTTAACCTTCAGTTTCACCCCCGTTTTATGTCACCAGTGCTGCCTGCAAAGATCCATTCCACTTACTCCTATTGCTAAATGTAAGATCTCAAAACCAACTTTGGCTTTCACTTTTCTTCTTTCCCTGTGTCCTCCCGAATGCCCAGCAAATCTTCCCATTCTGTCCTAACTAAAATCGTCATTGTGAAAGCAACAGGCCCTAGCTGCGTCTGTGACTCTAAGAGGTCCTATCGCTAGGGACCTGTCTCTTCCCTTCTTCCTAGAATATTCACCTGGCTTTGACCAGGAGATTGGTCAGTAAGTTGGTCAACTGATGGAAGCCACAGATAGTGCACTTCAGAATGAGAATTTGATGCACACTTCCCCAAAACTCCAATGCTGCCTCCATTGTCTTAGATGTTTTTTACAGGCTGGCTGATGATTATTTTTTTCCACAGCATGAAGCCATGCAGTCGCTATGGTTTCAGTCATCAACAAAACACATATGTCCCAATTTCTGTAGGAGGTTCCCAACTGGCTCCAAGATTTCTTTGCTACTGTGAAGGTTCAAGAGTCAACAAGAGGTTTCTTCTTTAAGTGCTTACAACCCAACCAGGGAAGCTCAGAATAGTCCCTCAGCACACAGGGAAAATGTTACAGGATCTCTTCCTCACAGGAACCCCTACCCACCACAGGAGGTTGTCCAGGCCTCTCCTGCTGATTAGCACAACAATGCTTAAGTAGCACCAAACAATTTAGATTGATGTATTCTGTACCCCGAGGCAGCAGAACAAGCTGGAAAATTGTCCTGAACATTCTATTGAAATACAGCCAAGTTGACTTGAGAAAGTCCTACACACTGTTACTTGATAACTTCTTCCTGGTATGGTTGGTAATATGAGCTCTGAGGGGGCAGCTCATGATGTTGCAATAGAATACTGAATGATTTTATTTACTTATTTATTTTTAATGTGTACGCATGTATTGCCTGCATGTAGGTAAGTGTACCTGTGTCGTGCAATGCCCACGGAGGTCAGAAGAGGCTGTCAGATCCTCTGGGACTGGAGTTACAGACAGTTATTAGCTGCCATGTGGGTGCTCTGAAATTTTTAATTTTTTCCTCCCTAAAGATTCTATAGTTTTATATTTAGGTCTGCATTCATTTGGAGTTAAGTTTTGTGTAAGATAAGAAATTTAGGTTCAGGGCTTTCTTTCTTTCTTTTTTTTTTTTTTGTCTTTTTGAGACAGGGTTTCCTTGTAGCCCCAGATGTCCTGGAACTCACTATGCAGACCAGGTGAATTCACAAAGATCCTCCTGCCTCTGCCTCCCAAGTGCTGGGATTAAAAGCGTGCACCACCACACCCAGCTGTAAATATATATTTTAAAATTATGAATAACATCAGAAAATATTTAATGGTTAGATACTGGGATAGAAGTAGCTTTATTTTTTGTTATATTGTTCCTTGCTTCTCATATTTTCTGCAATAATTTTACATTACCTTGTAATCAGATTTTTATCAGTATTATTACAAGACTATAACAATAAGTGAGGAAACTAGCCTTTGTAACATCTTCTCATATTCTTTGGCAGAGAATTACTGTATTAAGCAAGTCTCTAACACTGTAGGCTTTATTTAGTTATCTGCTAAGTGAGGGGGTGAAACTAATACACCCCAAAGCACTTCCTTGTGCTAAAGTCCTGAGATCCACAATCCAAATAAGCTAAGATTTTTAAGGATGTGGGGTCACCCTACAGAAAAGGTGCTGGGCTTAGAGTCCGTGCGCTTACTGTACGATCATTCTGTGACTTTGTTTTCTGTCATTAGTGAAATGAGAGGTTCAGAACACACATTTTCATGAGCCTCTGCCCTCCAGCTTCTGGGGTCCTGAGCTCAAACTGGCTTCAGGAATGGCCTGGGAACTGTTTGTGGTTTCAAGCTCTGGGTCTTTTTGAGTTTGTTCTGTTCTCATGAATGTCAGAGATCAACAGACTATGCTGAGGCCAATGAAGCCATGGTATTCAAAAGTTCATGTTTGAAGATCCTGTTTCTAATGATCTTTAAGCAGAGCAAAGACAGACACAAGCACATATCCGACCTGGAAGGCTGCCTGTCTTCTCTGAGGATTTCAGACTTCACAGGCTACGAGTTCTACAGCTTTAAGGTATCTTGAGAATTACTCAGTGCTTCGAATAGCTTTCCTTTTTCTTTTCTATCTCCATTTTTTCCTAAGTTTTGTCATTATTTTAGGTTGTCAAATCATTGCCTACTTCATTATGATAGCCAGGTACAGGGGAGGAGCCCAGGCCTGCACAGGACACAGAGACCTAGGAAACGTTACTTTACCTGATTAGGGTATTGGATATCAGAGCATTTTGTAGGCTATGAGGCCTATAGAAATGTCAAGAGAGCCAAACACCCACATGGTAGCATTTTGGTGAGTCACAGACCACATCTATGGTGGTCTCAGAGGATATGGCCTAATGATGCCATAGCCATTTTAGTGTCTGTAAATTCATTCTATAATGCTCACGCAACTACAAATCAAGTTATGTGTATTCCTCAGAACTTGCCCCATCATTAATCAACACATTACTGTAGTTGGTACCAGCCTTCCCCTCTGTGGGCCTCAATCCCTAGTTTGAAAAGTAAAGTGTTTGGGATAAGACAACTTTTAAAGGTTTCTTTGAGTTCTAAAGCTCTACCATGATTTTCTTTGTGGGGAGGGCTCTTTTTTGTTTGTTTGTTTCACACAGGATGTCCCTGTAGCCCTAGGTGGCCTAGAACTCACTATGTAGACAAGGCTGGCCTCAGTCTCACAGAAATCCACCTGCCTCTGATTCCCAAGTGCTGGAGTTAAAGGCATGTGCCACCACCCCCAGCTTAAAATTATTTATTTTTATTTTATGTGTACAAGTGTCTTGTTTGCATATATGTAAGTGTACCTCCATGTGGGTGCAATGCTTGTAGAGTTCAAAAGAGGGCTTTGGATTCCTTGGAACTGGAGTTACAGATGGTTGAAATCTACCATGTGGGTGCTGGGAACTGAACCTAGGACCTCTGTAAGACCAGTGAGTACTCTGTACTGCTGAGCCATCTCTCCAGCCCTCTAGCAGGATTTTTGAGCAGTTAATTTCAACAAGCTTTTCCGTTGGAACCTGGAATCATATTTCTTCTTAGGTTTAAGGGTTTTTGTTTATTTAAGATTTTGTTTGTTTGTTTGTTTGTTTGTTTGCCTTTTTGAGACAAGTTTAAGTTCTTTAAGGCTTGAGACAAACTGGAAAGGACTTGCAAAGTCCTAAAGCAGAATTCCAAACAATATCAACTTGAATTTCTTCTCTGGCTACACAGTAATGCTTTGCATCAGGAGGGAGGAACTGGCATCAGCAGCCACAGGGAAAAGCTGGGTTTGGGTAGCTTGAGGAGCCACTGACAGTGGGGAAGTGGGTCCCCCAGAATGACTCCTGCCAGCTGTCACCCAAAGCAAACAGCAGCCAGAGGGCAGCCCTCCGAGGTGGAAACCTGTTGTTCTCTCTTTCCTCCCTGTGTACAGGATAAGACCTGGAGTGACGTCATGGGAATCCATCAGAAATTGCCTACTGATGAGTTAGACTTGAGAAAACAGCAAGAGGCCGTGTGGGAACTTTTCACCAGTGAATGCACTTATTTCTTGGACCAATTATTAGTTCTTAAAATGGTAATGTTATGTTTAATGTTGCAGTTCATGGGAAACATTGAGTTCTTTAGGAATGTTTTTCCATGCTAGCAAAGGAAAATTGAGCTAATGTGCTTCCTTTCAGAGACTCTTGTAGAAAATTTCATTCATTATTTTTATTTAGATACTACTGACCTCCACAGGTTTTGTTGTTGTTATTGTTTCTTTCTTTGTTGCTTTGTTTCATTATGTAGGTCAGGCTGGCCTCGAGCTCTGGATCCTCCTGCTTCAGTCACTGGAATGCTTGGATTATAGACTTGTACCCAGCACTTTACTCTTTTTCTTAAACATGGCCTCTTGGGATTGATTAAAACTTCCCAATCCTAGTCCACCATCCCAACTTCTCACCTGCTACATGGCTCGCTGTGTCTCATGTTCACCTATGTTTGCATACTCCTGGACCAAGGAGCTCACAGCTACCATCAGGGGAGCCTATCCATCTTCCCCCGACTTCTAGGATGTTTGCTCCCTCATGAACAGTGCTTCTTATTGGCTGCTGGGCCACAGGTGCAGATTCTAGAGCAGCATCATAAACACTATGGTGCACTCAATTTACATGGGGCAGTCATGATTCCTCTATGAAAATGAGGTAAGCCAATGCAAGCAGCCCTGATCTGGAGAGTAGAAACCGGAGTTCCGTTGAGAGAAGAACCATACAGCAAGGGAGGAAAAGGAGCAGCTTCCTCAAAAACACAGAGTAATCTTGGTTATGTGGTACCCTAGGTCGCTTCTGCCAGTAGTGCTTTTAATCTCAGATAGCCCATCTGAAAGTCATTAGTTAGGTAAACCTGAATTCAAGCCCTGAATCTGTCTCTAACATTAGTAATGTCTATACTTCCGTATTCTAAAGCAGGTGCTGACAAACATCTTCAGTAAAGATCCATATCTTAATCTCTTTTGTGTTACTGTAACAGACTGTCACAGCCTGGGCAATTTGCAAAGAAAAGACATTTATTTGGCTCATGATTTTGGAGGCTGTGAAATCTAAGATGGAGGACCGACATCTGGCAAGGGTTCTTCTGTTGATGTATCAGAACACAGCATGTGGCATTTTTATGGAGAGGTCACATAAGAAAGCAAGAGAGGTCCAGTCTTGCTTTTATAAGCTCATTTTTGAAACAAGGAACTTCTTCCCACACTAATCCACTCACAAGGCCAGAGCCCTCAAGGCCTAGTCACCTCTCATCAGGCCTCACCTCCCTGCACAATTGCATAAGGGATTAAGTAAGCCCTCCCATTAAGAATTTGGGGAAGCACATTCAAGCCATAGCAATCCAGATCATAAATATTTTAGGCTTTTTAGACCATATGGTCTTTGTTGAGGTGATTCAACTCTGTCACTACAGTGTAAAAATTGCAAAAGATAATGTGTAAAGGAATGTGTGAGACAGTGCCACAATAAAACATGATTTATGGAAGCAGGTGGCAGCACAGATTCACATCTACAGGCTGCAGCTCCTGCACCAAGCTATAAAAAGGGAATGGCACCCCTCTCTTCCTCCATCTTACTAGATCTCTATGATGATCAACCTAGTTTTCTGTGAACAATGTTAAGTACTCTGCAAGACTCAGTTACTTTCGGTAAGATTTATTATCAGTTCCCACGCTAGGTACTTTACTTAGCAAAATAAACCACAAAGATACTCTAGGAGAAGTTGAAACAGAGTTTATATCAGCTAGGATAACAAAACAAGCAACAGAAAACCAGCTGGAATAATAGGAGGTTCCACTCACCTGTGTAACTGTTAAGCACAGAGACAGGAGAGAGTTGAGTTTGGACTGATCAAGGAGTTCAAAACCAAGGACAAAATTATTTCCATCTTCTATATCTGTCTTTTTAAGCATTAGTCTCATCTGTAACTAGCTTCTCTATAGTCACAAAATGAGAGTTGCGTGGGGGATGCACACTCTTCAATATTCATAGCAAAAGTCCTATTAGACATACTGTTACAGAGTTCAGCACCACTGGGGAAGACTACCCAGACTCAAAAAGTTCCGAATCAGCCAAATTAAGCTTTTACAATTTTATTAGAATTTTAAAGAAAAAGAAATCCTCAGGGCAGGTAAGCTGGTAATCTTGGCAGCTGCCTTGAGGTGAATGATAGGAAGGAAGAAAGCCACAAAGCCTGCCTGGGAGGTCAGACACGTGACTGACTGGCAGCCACATGGCTGGGAGAAGGAAGCTTTAGAGAAAAAGAACTGCAAGATGCTAGGGGCAGCCCAAAGCCGTACAGAAAGCATGTTTAGTAAGAAAGCCTTGAAAAAGAAAAAGGAAAGAATTCAGGGAAGCAGGCAACTCACAGACTACATGGCTTTAGCTAGGAAGTTCTATACCAGTAGGCAGGGTTCCAGGCAGGAAAAAATCACTATCTTAGTAACAAACTAGGTATCCCGCCCATTTATTCAGCATAACCCGCCTTACGAGGGGTGGTCCTAGGACCAGATGATTGACCAGTTAAACTTACATAAAATGGAGGCGCTCAGGTTATTACAGTACTGACACATTCCTGTAGTCCCAACATTCAAGAGCCAGAGTCAGGAAGATAGTGAGTTCAAGATCAGCCTGGGTTACATGGCAAATTTGAGACCCATCTAGACTAGACCCTGATGAAAAAAACCAAAAATTGTGTTGAGATTTATTCATTTTAATTTGACCTTTCGGGTCACATTTCCACCCCAGAACTAAGCACTCTAGCTAGATAAGGAAGGAATACGACTTGGCTTAAGTTAATCAAGTCCTCCCCGGCACCCAGGAACAAGGTTTGCTTCTTGCATAGCTCATGGGCAGCTTGGGGAGGAACAGATGCCATAGTGAAAAGCAGGATGCTGCTAGGGAAGGAAGGGGACTCCTGGAGCTGGGTGGTCAACAGTAACTGAACAGTAGAACCATGCTGAACTGTACTGATCACAGAAGAGCTCTGCCCTGTTATACTGCTGCCCTGCCCTAATGAGCAGGATAGAACTTTCTAGCCCACTGTAAGCTGCCCCAAATTTGCAAGTCAGTGTTACTATAAATTCCAACCCAGCCTGGGCTGCAGTGTGAGGACCTATCTCAAATAAACAAAGGCCAAATTGAATTAATGTTCAAATGCCCCAGTGGGTTTAAGTACATCTGTACATCCCTTTGCATAAAACAGTATGAGTTTCCCAAAGTTGCTTATGAATTGAAACTTGTAACTCAAACATTAAATAAATATACTAGATAACTCCACATTTCTGTAAAGCAAGAAGATTATGGCAAAAGGAATATTTCTTCTAAGTTGTTGTAGTTGAACTATAATAACAAGTTTGGGGTTTGTTGTTTTGTTTTATTATCATTCATTTGTTTGTTGTGGTGTTTTACAACTGTCTGTTTCAAATGCTTGGCTATTGATAGATTTCCAGACCACCAACTCAACTATCTGCACTGGGGAAGCTCTGTGTCAGTGATTCGGCATGTGGCCTTCTCTTTTCTTTATTCTTTCTTTTTTTGAGACAGGCTCTCACTATGTAGCCCAGTCTGGCTTGGATTTCATAGCAATACCAGCTTGCAAATTTTGGACAGCTTACAGTAGGATAGAAAATTCTATCCTGCTGATTAGGACAGGCTGCCCTTGAACTCACAATGCTCTACCTGCCTCTGCCTCCTGAGCACTGGCATTAAAGGTATGCACCACCACGCCCAGCTACCATGTAGCCTTTAGACCCACTGCAGCAGAATCACTCTAGACCTTGTTAGATGCACACCCTCGGACCCCCCATCCTGGACCTACTGAATCAGAAATTCTGGGGTGAGACCCTGACAGGCTGTGGCCTAACAAGGTCTCCAGATGATTGTGAGGCCTGTTTGCAGGGATGGGAGTTGGAAAAGGTTTGCTGCCTGAAATCCAATCTTTTCACATCTAAACCTTTAAAAAGAATTGGTCCCTTTGTCCCCTTGAATGCTTCCCTTATGGTCAATTAATTACTCTCTCTTCAGTTTATGGAACGCAGGCTGCCTGTGAGGATGGTAGTCCTTTCTTGACTTGCTGTCTAGCTCACTGATATGTGAAGGCATCAAGCCAAGCACTGATAGCCAAGACACAATAATGTTTTCATGACCATTGAACACCTTTATCAAAACCTGATATTTTACCATTATCAGTTTTTAGCTCACTAACTCAGTGTTATTTTATTCTCAAGTTAGTGCTGTTGGTTGAAGAGAACCTTTGGGATTTTTTTCTGGCACTGTGAAGCGTAGAAGGCAAGAACAGAATATGTTCAGCAGGAATGCTGTTAGGATTAACATCAAACAACAACAGCCTCACACTGAAGAGTTCATGTCCAACACGTGCTATGAAATTTAAATGCCATGAATTATATCAAGAAAAATGCATAAACCCTGAGAATATTGCTTTCTACACTTTGTAAAATTATGCCTGGAATATTTTTTCATATTTTATTTATTATTTTTATTTTATGTGTATGAATGCATTACCTACATGTATGTGAGGGCACCCATGTCATGCAATGGCCGCAGAGGTCAGAAGAGGGCTTCAGATTCCCCTGGAACTGGAGTTAAGGATGGTTTGTAGCTGCCATGTCGGTGCTGGGAATTGAACCTGGGTCCTCTGCAAGAGCAGTCAGTGCTCTTAACCACTAAGCCATCTCTCCAGCCCCATGTCCAGGAGATTTATGTTTAATGCTCTTTTAAATTTTTTTAAAATTTTTTATGTAAATGAGTGTTTTACCTGCATGTATGTAAGTGCAGCTGTGTTGTGCAATGCCCACAGAGGCCAGAAGAGGATGTTGGATCCCCTAGAACTAGATTAATGGATGTTTTCTACCTGCCATGTGGGTGCTGGGAACCAAACCCAGGTCCTCTGCAAGAACAGCCAGTGCTCTTAACCATTGAGCCTTTTCCTCATCCCCTATATTTAATGTTCTTGTAAAGGGCATGCTTCAAAATTTAAACTCAAAAAGTAATGCGTATTTGTTTTTTGTTTCTTTAAAGATCTTTATGAATACACTAAAATATCTCCAAATTCATGACTATCTCCTAGATGTGGATTTGTGGAAGCTCTTTGCAAACCTGGAGGAGTTAACTCAGGTGAGCCAAAGACAAGGATAACAGTAGTCATGTGTTGAAATTCAACAGAAAACTTGATCGTGTAAATTCATGCTTATCCAGGTGAGGTGGCACATGCCTTTAATCCTAGCACTAGGGAGGCAGAGGCAGGTGAATCTCTGTGAGATCTAGGCCTGCCTGGTTTATATAGCAAGTTCCAGGCCAGTTGGGGTTACAGGAGACTCTATTTCAAAAAGCAACAAAACAAAAACAAAAGAAAGTTCATGCTTGGTACAGATCTGTGGCTTATTCCATATTCTCGCATAATCGGATGGTCAGTTCAAGTTTACAAGGCGGGATGTGTAAACATCTGTCATCTTCCCAATAGGTTGTAGACATGAGTTAACCTTCGTTCACAGTAGACATTTGCCTGGCATGATGGCTTATGACTGTATCCCCAACACTCAGGAGGCTGAGGCAGGAAGGCTGCAAGTCTGAAGCCATCTACAGAGCAAGTTCCAGGGCAGCCTTGTCATATAATGAGACTATCTGAAAGAAAGAGAGAAAAAGAGAATGAGAGAAAGAGCGAGAGTCCTACAGCATTATTTTTTTTTGTGTTTAGTTGCTCAAATGAATGACTTTTTCATATTTATATATTACAAATAAGTATCTTCTCAAAATGAAATAGAGGCAGCAATAAGATATATTCACCTGGGCTGGGCATGTAGCTTAGTGGTAGAGCATTTGCTGCATATATACACACACGACCCTAGGTTTGATCTACAGTCCAGGACCATTAAAAAAAAAAAATTAAAAGCATTCTTTTTAAACAAAAGTAAAAGAAGGTGGGAGGAATAAATCTTTACATGTTACTTGGAGATAAATTTGAAATAAGAAACATCTGTAAGAATTCCTCAGCTCATCATGTCACTTTCAGCCCTCATTCCTGAGCGAGCACCCACTTGTTTTCTTTCTCTCTGGCCCTAGACAAGTCTTGGCTTTGTGAACAGTCTTCTCGGCATCATCAAGGACTATGTGAATGCTTCTGGGACTTCACCGTTGATGGATTTCCTTTCTGTGCTCACAAAGGTAAATCCTTCTTGGGCGATCTCAGCTTCCTGCAATAAAATCCTTCTACCTCCCAAGACAGTTATTTATAGTCACCTGATTTTTGTTCTTGCTCATCCTGGGAAAGGTCCACCATTACCTGCCTTAAAGGAACTATCTCTTTCTCCACCAATCAATGTTTTCAAAAATAATGTGCAAATTCTGTTTTCACACTGTTACAGTTCCAGTAGATTTTTAAAAATTACATTTTTGTTTATTTATTTGGGGGTTTCATGTGCCACGGTACACGTGTGGAGGTCAGAGGACAACTTTCTGGAGTCAGTTTTCGTCATTCACCGTGCGAGTCTGAGGGATTGAACTCAGATCCTCAGGCTTGATGACAAGTGCCTTTACCCACAGAGCCATCTCTCTGGCCTTCAGGGCTACGGCTTTTAATAACATAAAAACCTGCATGTATGGAAAAATCATTTCCAAGTGTGTTTTTAAAATGATTTCAATTTAAAGTAATATTCATGGCAATAGTTTAGTGTCTGCTAATTAGTTGTCTGTCTCTCAGAAAGAAGCAAAACAAACTTTCAAATCCATCACCAGCCCTGATAATACTTAAGCAATGAGAGGAAAGGTTTTGTTCTCATTTAGCAACATTTTAATTCTTCTACTCCCACTAAAAAAAAAAAAAAAAAAAAGTTGAGATTTACTGAACATTTACTAAGTGCTATGTGTGAGAGCATGGCCCTGCACACAATGTACAAGATGAAAGCCCTCTCCCTTGAGGAATCCTCAGCCTGGTGTGAAGCAATTACTCCAGTATTGATTACTGATTACATAATCAAACAGATAAAAATTGCAAGGGGCGTGGAGAATGTAGATACCAAGAGCTTCCAAAAGGAAACTTTCTCTGTGGGGTGGGAGGAGGGACAGTTACTGATGGGGTATGCTTCCTGGAGAAAGGATGCTGAAAATAAGCTATGAGGAAGGGGGTGGGGATCAACACGGCCCCCATAAGCAGGAAGTTAGGTGGAGAGTGGAAAGGTCCTTTAATAACTTTGAAAACAAATCAAATTGAACAAACTGTGTGTGGAAAAAAAGAAGAAACAGAATTTTAGGTATTAGCTAACAGCTCTGGATCTCTCAGTTCCTTCAGAGTCAAAATGTTTTGAAATTCATGTTTTAATAAATAGTCTGGAAAGACACCAGCTACTCATCAAAGCACAGAACCTTCTAAAGGGTAGGATACTAATATATTCTTTACTAAAGGTCTATATATGACCTATGTATGAATGCTCCATGCTGTTACTTGCAAAGAGTTTAAGCAACCTTTCCTAGATTTAAAAGGTTCTGCATCAGTCAGACTAGATTCTGTTGCACCACAGTAACAAGCAATCCCCAAATCTCAGCAGCCTTGTTCACATCTCATTTAATGCTCTACTTCTGCTTTGACACTGTCCTAACTCTGGGCCCCATGCTGATGGAGCAGTCACTACTGGGAACAGGACCAGTTTTCACATCTAAGGCAAGAGAGTCTGTGGCCACTCAGTCACTGACTCTAAAGTTTCTGGCTGAAGCAACACATGGCATATTTCATTGACCAGAGAAAGAAACATGGTCAAGTTACTTTCAGAGGAGGAGGTATTGATAATCATCCTAGGAAAGGAAATCAATGAACAGTGAACAGTCCACACAGCACCTCACAAGAAGCTCATGAGCTGGTAAATGGGTATGTGTTGTTATCACATGGGAGCCATCTAAGGAAGTCTTGGAGAAGGAAATGGACCTGGAGAAGTCAGATAATTTGGCTAAGGTCACATAGCTAATGGGCACTAGAACAGGAGTTTTTAAAAATAACTTTTGTAAAAGGCAGAAGATTTATACTGTCTGAAGAGAAACCAGAGTATTAAAAAAAAAATAACTATTGTGTCTGGGCATGGTGGCATATGCCTTTAATCCCAGCACTCGGGAGTTAGAGGCAGGTGGATCTCTATGAGATTGAGGCCAGTCTAGTCTACATATCAAGTTCCAGGCCAGTTGGGACTACAGGAAGACCCTGTCTCAAAAAGACTAAAATAAATAATAAATAAATAAATAAATAAAACTTAATTTGACAAGTCCATATATATATATGTATATATACTTATATATATGTATGTATATAAAGCACATTCTGATTAATACACCCCTTCATTCTCTCAATCTCCCTCCCACCCCATAAGCCAATCCACCTTCAAGTCTCTTTACTATATGTATATGTTTGGAGGTTTTAGGGGGTGGTGATAATGGTGGATTTATTGTTGGCTTGTTTTGTTTGAGATCATCTCTGTGAACATGTTTGGAATGATCCACTGGAGGCTGGTGTGTTCCTCAGAGAATATACAACTAAAGAAAATGACTGCCCCATCCCCAGAATCCCTCAGTAGCCAATAGTTCAGCAGGGAGGGGCAGAGCTCTGTGACCGCCCCCCTCCATCCATGATTGACTGTTGATAGGCCCAGTCTTGTACAGGCCTTTTGCAGGCAGCTCAGTTGCTGTGAAGTCATTACTGCATTGCTTGAGCCATGCTTAGAAGGCTGCACCTCACAGCCCTCCTCCTATCTTCTGGCTCCTATTTTCTTTCTACCTCCTCTTCAGGGCTCTTACACTCTTTCTGCCTCTTCTTACTACAGAGTTACTTGATCCTTAGAGGGGTAGATCCTTAGGGCTAAGCATTGAACTGTCACTTATTCTCAGCACCTTGAGCAATCATGAGTCTGAATTCACCATCATTCGTTACAAAGAGCAGCTTCTCTGATTAAAGATGGCAGTAGCATTTGTCTCCGGGTATAAACATAAATATTTAGAAGGCAGCTTGGTGCCAGGATCATTTAGCTAAAAACAGTAGTTGACTTCACCTGTAGAGCCTACAGCCTCCTCAGTCATGGGTTGTCAGGTTTGGGTGGCAAATGCCTTTACCCTCTGACCCTCTGAGTTATCTCACTGGCCTTCAAAGTAGTTTTAATGGCATTTCCCTGATGACTAATGATGCTGGATGTTTTAAAAATGTTTATTACTCATTTGTGATTTTTCTTTAGAGAATTCTGTATTCAGATTCATGTTCTATTTTTTATTGGGTTTTTCATTTTCATAATAGTTTTTGAATAATTTGTATGTTCTAGATACTAATCCTCTGCTGTAGAAATAGCTGGCAAAGATTTTTCTTTCTGTAGACTGTCTCTTCCCTTTGGTTTCCTTTGCTATATGGAAGCTTTTTAGTTTCATGAGATCCTATTTGTTAATTGTTGGTCTTATTTATTGTTCTATCAGTGCCCTATTCAGAATTCCTTTCCTGTGCCTATATACTGAAGTGTTCTCCCTCCTTTTCCTCTAGCAGTATCAAAGTATCTGTTCCTATATTGAGATCTTTGATCCATTTGGAGTTGAGTTTAGTACAGGGTAAGAGATAAGGATCTAGTTTCATTCTTTTGGGTGTTGATATCTAGTTTTACCAGCACCATTTATTAAAGATGCTGTCTTTCTTCTACTGTGTATTTTTAGCATTTTTGTAGAAAATCAGTTACTTGCAGTTGGGTAGAGTTATATCTGTGTCTTCTATTCTAAACTGTTAGTCTACATGTATGTGTTTTTGTGCTAATACCATGCTGTTTTGAATTACTATGGTTTTATAGTAGAACCTGAAATCAGGTATGGTACCAGTGTTCTTTTCATTCAGAATTGTTTTGTCTATCCTTGGTCTTTGTGCTTCCATATAAATTTTAAGGGATTTTGTTTGTTTGTTTGTTTTTGTTTTTATTTCCTGTGCATATGAAGAACGACCCTGTAATTTTGATTAGGATTGCATTGACTTTGTAGACTGCCTTTGGTAGGATGGCCATTTTCACAGTATTAATTCTTTGGATCCATCATCATGGAAGGTCTTTCCCCCTTCTAGTGTCCTCTTCAGTTTCTTTCTTGAATGTCTGTCTTAGTTTTCATTGTAGAGAGCTTTCGTTTCTTTGGTTAGGCTTACTCTGGAACTGAATTCTAAGGCTGAGCACTACTGACTGAGCCACTTAACAGTTGCTTTCTGCTTCTGAGGTTTCTCAGGCTTGTCAGTGACCTGAGGAAAGTCCTGCAAGTATTCTTCTCAGTCGAACTATCAACAGAGACCTAAAATAAACTCATATTATTCTTTCAGATCATTTCTTTCTTGAGCTAAAAACTTGACATAGATCTTCATAACATTTCATTCTTTGAAGTCTGGAGCAAAATATTTTTCTAGGTTTTCTCTGTCTTCACTATTGCTATTTCCTGTTAGGACTTTGGAGGAGAGTCTGCTTTCTCTCTGTAGTTCTAACATTTCCAACAAGTACAGTTTTCTTCTCTGAGCCCATCACAATGTGATACTGTTGGAAAAACTCCATTATAGAGCCCATGACTTGTTATATTAATCAGTAAATCTACACAAAGGCACATAGAAATGGTGTGGTAAACATTATGGAATTGTAAAGAAAGTACCTGCCTGAACAGCCAAAAGTCTTGCTGAAAAGAAAAGAATTACCTGTTACACTTACTGAGATGGAGGCACACTGTGTGCTGTGCTCAGTTTGACCACTGTTATGTGTGAACATTTATTGAAAAAAATGACAGTTTGCCTTATTCCAAAATGAATTTGAGGTAGCCTCAGGTGCATTATTATTATAGTAAGTTGAAGACATTAAATAAAAATAATGAAGAAAAGAGAAGATTTAGAAGGCTACTAAAAAAATGCACGTTATATACACAGTACATTTCATAGAAATGTTCCAAATCTCTACATATTTAGAAGCCAGAGAATTAAATTTACGTATTGAGGACTACTTAATAAAAAGTTAAATGTCATTACTGTAATGACATACTAATGTAAGCCTAACATAAAGTGCAATACCTAGTGTGAGGCACAGAGGAATGACACATAGTGGTGGTCAAGCTAAAAATCTTTAATTAGCTAGCAGTCAAGAGGGGGCTAATGCCCAAAAGAACTCTTGACAAGGGGCGGCAGTTTATAAAGTCTAAAAACACAATTACATCATACCAAGGGCAAAGTCAATAACCACAGTCCATCAGATCATCACAGTTACACCAGAATAGGGACAGGTTAGTTAACAAAGAAGTTTCAGTTAACAAAAAGTTTCTAAGCTTTGGTTAGGGAAAACAAGTTTCTCAGAATTGCAGGAACAATAGGCTCCCTGGATATGCAGGCATAACTGGTAGAGGGGTTCTACCTACCTGGTTGTAAGTTTCCCAGTATTATAGAAACAATGCACACCCAGAAACTGCAGGTTCTGCCTTCATGGGACAGTTCTTCCTGGCTGGTTGAACAGGAACGGCTAGGCCAAAACATAGTATAGAGCAAAAGTCAGCTAGAACAAAATGGAGTCAGTTTGGTCATGGAAAGCATGGAAAGCAAAGGTAACATTTGTTACTAGGCACCATGCAGGATGGTGAGCTCAGCAACACATGATCAGAAGTGAAAGGCTCAGTCAACTTAAGACATTCAACATAGAATCATCTGTTACCAATCGAACCACCCTGAATGCATCCAGTTTTATCTAACTAGAATATTCTTTTCATTTGGGGTGAGATTTCATTGTGGCATTAATTTTATTATAGGAGTACCATGTTTTTAAAAGCATGTTTGTGTGGAGGTTACTTGTCTAGCTCTGCACAGCCATAGGACCTGCATGATACTGGTGACTCCTGGGTGACCACCACAGTGTGATCTTAGCAGCTCCAATGTGATTGTGGCAGCTCCCACTTGATCATGGTGACACCCATGCTCTTCCCTCATTCTAATCAATGACAAAGGTGAAGAGAAGGAGTGCCTAACTTCCTTTCCTTCTCTTGCAGTATTTCCAAGGGACCCTCTGCCAGAGCCACCAGACCTACTGCCTGAATTACTCTGCTGCTGTATTTTATCTGGAGATCCTGAGGCAAAGAGACGACTTCCGCATTTATTTAAAGGTATAGTACCAGTTTTTGCCTTTTATATTTTCTCAACACTCTTGAGTGTTAACAGATACTGAAAATTATTATACCCAAATTAAGTGAGAAAGAAGAAAAATAAGTGATGTACACTATATTAACTGTAATTGTGCTTTCCTCATAAATGCAACTTCCATCACATTTTATTTATTTATTTAAATATTTATTTTACTTTTATTTATGTGTATGGGTGTATTGCCTGCATGTATGTAAGTGCACCCATGTCATGCAGTGCCCGTGGAGGTCAGGTAACGAATCCCCTGGAACTGGAGGTTAATGATGGTTGCTAGCTGCTATGTGGCTGGAAATCAAACCCTGGTCCTCTGCAAGAGCAGTCAGTGCTCTTAACTGCTGAGCCATCTCTCCAGCCCCTTTTACCACATTTTAAGTGGTGCACATCTGGAATCCAAATATCATAGGGATGAAAGAATTTTGGCTGGGGCTTTAAAATGTTTTATTTGTTCATTAGTTTGTGGTAGAAATGGGTACATTGTAAGAAGAAAATTGCAATCAGAACATAAGCTTTGTTGGTGACTAAATTTGGCCTTTGTGGGATTTAATCTCAGCGAAGTCCTGTTGCACAGAACTAGGCCTCCTGCTTATGTTGTGTTCTATGCAAGGGCAGGCCCCAGCTCCCAGAGCAGGCTGCAGTGTTGTCTTGTAGTGTGTTAGTTCAAGGTCTTCAAAGCCTTAGAACAAATAATTTCTGCTGGGAACTTTCGTATTTGCTAAGAGCAAATTAGAAACTCATTTTCCTTGACTTTTCCAGTTCCTGAGACTTCATTTGACATTTGTTTTACTCTGAATGATATCTTTTCTGCACTATGCAAGAGTTCTTTTACATGATGTAGAGGAACTGACCCAAGGCTTCCCAGAAAGTCAGCTCTTCCTGCAGCTGCAAGAAGACTGCCAGAGCCTCTCCTGGGAGGCTTGGGAAGAGAGGCTCCAGGGGCTCCCAATGAGTCAACTGTAGATTCGAGGGCTTTGCCATGGCTTCAGTGAGCTAAGAAGCCTGGATGTGGTGGGGAGGAGAAAAAGAGTGAATGATCTTGGAGAACAGACTTGACCTTATTTTTGTAGCTTTGACCTTTAACGTTTTTCTTTCCACTCAAACTGAAATCTCAGAGGTCCATTAGATTTCCCAATAGGTGGGTCAAGAATCTTATAAACGTTGGGGCTGGAGAGATGGCTCAGCAGTTAAGAGCACTGAATGCTCTTGCAGAGGACCCAGGTTCAATTCCCAGCACCCACATGCAGCTGTGAACTGTCCTTAACTCCAGTTCCAGGGGAAACCAGCACCCCCTTATGACCTCTGCAGCATTGCACGACACAGGTGCACTCACGTACATACAGGCAATACACTCACACACATAAAAATAATAAATAAAATGTATATTTTTAAAAAGAGTGTTGCACATGTTTTCCTGAAAGCTGGCAGATTAAACTCTTCCCTAGACCTCTGAATCTGGTCTATTTTGAAGAGCCAGAATGCACTGACTCCATTTGGCTAGCTTCTTCAGACAAGCCCGGACAAGCTCAGGTATATTGTAAATTTTTCCAGTTGTTACCCCCCCCCCTCCACCCTGGAAGCTATAGATTAAGCAAGCCCTAAACATATAAAAGCCTTATAAAAACTTCTGGCCCTAAAGATATCAGTCAGCACGTTCCAATGCCCTGAAGACAGCCCCTGCCAATCAAAACTTCCCCCGGACTCAGGATATGGGGCCATCCAATTATTTTAAAAGATGCTTGGCGCCCGTGGGTTTGTGTAAAGTTCTTCAGTAAAAGCCCCTGCCTGCTATTGTTCGGGGCCAGACACCATCTTTGGCTTGTGGAGTTCGTGCCCGGCTAGCCGCTAATTTGGTTACTTTATACTTTAAATTTCTGAATAAAATTTTTATGCATTTTTCCTTCGTGTCTGTGGGAATTATTCCCGACTCTCGGACCCTAACAATTTCTCTTACGGTCTTTAAGTCAGTAAATATTTATAAATGGATTTGAACATTATAATCTGTATATAAAAACTGAAAACTCACACAGTACCTTAAAAATAGGTACAATTTTATGTTTTTAACATATTGATTGAAAAACTAATTCTATTTTAAAAAATTTGTTTTTAAATTTTTTGTGTATGTGTATTTTACCTCCATGTATCTAAGTGCACCAAGTGCATGCAATGCCTGTAGAGGTCAGAAGAAGGCATTGGATCCCTTAAAGCTGGAGTTACAAACTGTTAGCCACCATGTGAGTGCTGGGAACTGAACCCAGGTACTCTGCAAGAGCAGCTAGTGCTCTTAACCACTGAGTTTTTAAAAATTTAAAACCCACTGCACTTAAATTTTTATTATATTTGTTTACATGTGTATATGTGTGTGGGTGCCCCATGGCATGCATGTGGGTAGAAGTCAGGGGACAACTTGCAACAGTCACTTTTCTCTTTCTACCGTTTGGGTCCCAGGGATTAAACTCAGGTCTTCAGGCTTGGCAGCAAGCACTTTAACCTGCTGAGTCATCTCACTGGGCCCCCATTGCACTTTTAACTAACACAGTTTTCAATTCCCCAGGGGATTTCCCATCACCAGAGAATTATTAGCTTCATGAGACAGAAGTAAGGGAAAGGCTTTAGAGGAATTTAAAGGAAATCTGCCTTCTACTGTCCCGTGGCACAGAACAAAAGCATCCTCATATGTACTAAATGTGACTAAGTTTTGAGCTCTCACTATGGGTGGGCACTTTTCTGTATCCCAGATATCTGTGATCTCTTTGTTTATACAATAGCTCCATAGAATTTTATGTTTCCCATTTTTCTGAAGCCTAATAAACGTAGGCAACTTGCTATAACATAGGAGACACAGGAAGGATTTCAATTCAGGCCTGTCAGAAACCAAGTCATTGTCCTAACACGCTCTGCTATAAATACCTTTCTTAGAGAACTTAAATCTGTATCACATTTCCTGCTGCCTGAATTTGGACTATGGATATGCTGTGGTGTTTTTGCCCTCCTACCATGCACGTAAATTTGAGTTTTATGAATGTACATACATTAACCTGGCACACACAGATGGCAGTAAGAGTCTTCCCACTATTTAGAATCAGTTAGAATGATGCAGAGAAAGAGGCCGGGACCTCTGTATCATGTCTTAGTATCTCTCAGCTAGCAGCAGACGACAGTCCTAGAGCTCAGGGCTTCAGGGTGCTAAGACTCATTGTTTGAGACATCACAGGCCCTAGTGTCTAAACTTTGTATGGATTATCTCATTAAAACCTCTCACCAACCCAAGGAGGCTGTTGCTACTGTTTATATTTGGCAGATAAGGCTGGAAGAGATTTAAGCAAATTTCCCAAAGGTCTCTGGATATTAGTTTCTCCACACCATCTTGTGTTCCACCTAAACAGATTTATTAGAGAAATATTTTCATTTTGTGTCCTTTAACCCCTTTCAGTGTTCCCCTAAATTCATGGGATGTTTATTATAAAATAAAACAGTCTCCATTGATCTATACTCAGCAATGCAAAGGCCTTTCATGTCCAATCTCTCTTGATAGAGATGCTCTTTGATTTCTTTAATGGACCTAAAAAATAAAGCCAATAGAGAGATAAAAGCAAAATGTACAGTTTTACTTTCGTAATTGTCCATCAACTTTGCTCTGTTCTGAGGCTTTTCAGAACACTAAAAGCTTCTGGTATCCCTGTCCAAATCGTGTCTGAGTTATTTACCACTGATGAATCTTGCCTGATTGAAAGGTGGATGTGGTGGGTGTTTTCACACCTGTCCTGACTACCAAGGAATGCTGGAATTTGGAGCTATCCCTTGACACAGGACAGTTGGAATTGGCAGCTCTGGGCTGCTGCGTGTTTTAAGGGCATTCCTAATTGCTGCTGAAACTCAGTTACTGGAATTCCTCAGCCTTCCTGGAGAACCTACAGGTATTGCTGGGATACTACTGAGGAGTCAGCCTGGACTCAGCCTCTAGGGTGACAACACTGTTCACTCCTCCTCTACTTCCCACCTGTTACCAAGGCCAGCCTTTCCCACCTGTAGCCCTTGCTTTCTTCTCTAGGCTTTCCAACCGCACTGAGAACCACAGCCATATGGAGAGGCATCGGGACCTGGAGATCCCTAATGTCTTCTACCACTTCACAGAAGAGGAGCCTGAGCCCAGAGAGGGAAGGTGGCCTGGCTCCTGGAGCTCTGAGCACCCACTGCACCTGTGTAGGGTGTGTTGAAAAGTGTATTCAGCAGGATTCCTGCAAGGAAGAACCCTAAGCGTTTTCAATAGCATTACTTTAATAAAGCTGCCAGTACACAGTACACAGGATGAGACTTCCCACACTGTTGTAGCAACATGGTCGAGCTATGGAGAAAAAAATCAACATGTAAAGGAGAAAGAAAGAAAAGGTTCTCTCTTTTTCCAAAGAAAATAAAGGAGCCAACAAAATGGAGTGTATGAGCCATGCATTCAATCCTTTCTGCAATCCAAAATCTTCAGTAAAATAAAGACGTACACTTACAAAACATTGACATGAGGACATTTGTAGTGAAAACTAACAGGAGATCAGTCAAGGGAACTATGGTTTGAATGTCTTCCACCAAAATCCATGTTGAAATTTAACTCCAAGCTACTAGGAGTAGGTTGGGTCTTTAAGAAGTGAATGGGTCATGAGTGCTCTGCTCTCATAAATGTATTCATTCATCCCTGGGTTAGGAATTAATGAGTTATTACAGGAGAGACTATGCTATAAAAGCAAGCTCTCTGTGGCCTGGTTGTTCTAGCTTACCATGTGATGCTCTGTCTTGGGACTCTAGAGAGTTCTCACAAGCAAGAAGACCCTCACCAGACACAGCCTTTTGAACATCCCAGTTTCCAGAGGTAATTTTTAAATAATTGTTATAAGTTTATAAGGAATAAATGTTTTTCTTTATAAAATACCCAGCTGCTACAACCCCAGATAACAGACTAAAACAGGGTGGTAGCTGTGATTGGTCGGTGCTATTCAGGGAACAAACAGGCTACATAGAATCAGTGTATATGGAACTAGGGTCAAATGTTGCCATTAGAATTTCAGTCTCCATAATTCTGTAAATATTTAGGAGAAGGACTTCTGTGACCCCTTACCTTGGTAGGAATTTGAGCCAATATTTATCTAGATCTCCAAAATGCAATAGGAGGTACTTGGTATAAGACAGCTTTGGTGAAGCAGAAGCAATCTCCCGCAGCGTACTTGGCCCTCTTGAAGACAGCCCTAAAGGGTCCAGACCAAGAATGAAAGGGGAAACAGGGTGGTAGCCTTCCAATGGAAGACACTGAGTGTCACGTTCAGTGTGGATGACTGGCACAAAGTGCTGTAGACTTAGGTGATGCTTGGTGTCAATTGTCAAGTTGGTAGGACCCAGAATCACCTGGAAGATGAGCCTCTGGGCATGTCTGTGTAGTATCACCTTGATGTGGGAAGATCCCTCTTCATTGTGGTCAGCACTATTTCATGGGCTGAGTCCTGGATTGCATGAAAAGGAGAGAGATTTCTGAGCACATGACTGCTCTTCTGACTGCTGATGCAATGTGAGCAGCTGCTTCAAGCTCCTGCTGCCTTGATTTTCCTGCCATGGTTAACAGTGCTTTCAACAGTGAGCTAAAACAAACCCTTTTTCCTTAAGTTGCTTTGTCAGAACATTTTATCATGGCAACAGAAAAGTGGCTGATACAACTTGATAGCTTATGAACAACAGATATTTATTCTTGTAGTTCTGGAGGTTGGTCTTCTGAGATTAGGATTGTTGGATTCTGGTAAGGATCCTTTTCTGGGTTGGAGCCTATTGCTTTTCATATCTTCCCAAGGTGGAAGGACAGCTGGAGAGTTTTGTGAGGTCTCTTCTATAGGGACGCTAGTTCCTCATCAAAGAGGGTAAGATTCATGAGGACTCTGCCCTCGTGCCCCAATCACTTCCCCCAAAGCCTACCTCCTTATGTCATCCAACTGGGGAGGAGGATTTCAACATCTGAATTTTGAAGGGCCATAACATTCTAAGTTAATCCTTTTATAGCAAAACTCAGGATGTTTGATGTGAAAGACTGGGCTAAGAGGAGAATACATCCATAATAAACCTTCTCATATACCGGCCTGTGTAGCTGCCTCATGCATCAAGATCACCCACATAAAAACTGGGCTCTTACATTCAAGAAAGTGACACATTCAATGGAGCAGCCCAGCACATAGAAACATGTCAAAAATATGCTCATGTTTACTGGAGTTTCTCAAATATCATTAATAGAAGTCCAATATATAACCCAAAGCTCTGCTTACTAAAATTCCTTTTCCTGTATTCTCAGATGTGTGCATACTCTGGTACTGTCTCTCCTGAACCCCAACTCCAAACTCTCCCAGGTGAAAGCTGTCTTTGCCTGTCTTCCTCTCCTCTTCCTGTTGCTGTATAATTTAATGGAGGCTACACCACCTAGATGGCTTAGCCTCTTGGATGTCTGACTTCCAACAAGTAGAATTCTCTCTTGCCTTTCTCTCTCTCTCTAGCTCTGGTTCTCATCACTCCTAATTGTGCATCACAGAAAAATGCAAATAAAGCTGGTGAAACCAGAAATTTCCTGCAGGTAAAGTGAAACTCTCAAATGAGAAGGGTAAACAAGGCTGGAACACATGAAACATGCATTTGGGGAGTAAAAATTTAAGGACTTTTGTACTTTCCCTGTGCATCTAAGTCTTGATTAAATTTCCCCCTTTAGAAGGACCCAGTGGTGCGTCACAGGTGGTGCTGTTGATGGCACCCTTTCACCGCTACTAAACAGCTGAAGGTTCCTCTCCTTTCTTTAGCTAGAAAGCAGCAATGTTACTTAGTAATAACCAGAATTACTTCTTGATCACATCTAAGAACCCTATTCCAAATCCTGCATTGATGCTTCGTATGGAATTTTCAAAATCAAAGGCTAGCTAGGTACATTGATGCCTGTAATGTCATGCCTATAATCCCAATATTTAGAAGCCTGAGACCGGAGGAGCTCTATAAGGAGCTCTGGGATATAGAGTGAGTTCAAAGTCAGCCCGTGCTACATAGTGAGACTCTTTTGTCTAAACAAACAAACAAAAATCCATGACTCAGAAATTTTCCAGCAAGCTCTCAGGTGCATCCTGTTAAATCGCAATAATTTTTCCTAGCCAAGTATGGTAGTGCACACTTGCAAGTCCAGTGCTCAGGAGGAATGTCACAAGTTCAAGGTCAGCACAGTCTACGTAGAGAATTCCAGACCAGCCTGGACTACAGAGTGAGACCTTGTCTTAAAAAAACAAAACAACAACAAAACTATCCAGGCTTCCCAGTGCCTCTACAGGAGAAGTGCTAAAACGTGCCTTCTTTTGCTTTTCCCAGTGGTGTGAGCAAAATGAACAGTGCAGACGGCTTCATCTGCCTGAACTACTAGTGGCTCCACTGCACAGACTCACCCGCTATCCCTTATTGCTGAAGAATATCTGGAAAAGGAGTACAGACTCCACTGAGAAGATCATGATCTATTCCATCAAGGAAAAGGTGGAAAAGTCAATTCGTAAGTCCCTGTGATGTGTGAGCTTGATGCAAATGTTAGGGAGTCTGTGCTTCCCAGAACCCATCTGGGTTCCCATCCTAGAAGGTAATTCCTTTGGCTTGGCATCATGGCTCTAGGAAGTGGGATTCAAGTTTGAGTGTATTATAAAACAAACATATACAATAATGGGCTCCTGTCAATCCCCACAAGCTGGTGAGATAGCAGTAAGTTTATACAGGACCCAGCTCCATCTGCAAGGCTTTTAGAATGCAGGCAGGAAAATGTCTACTTTTCATATGATTAAAGGCACTTTGTTTTTTAACACCCATTCTCAATCTCTACAGAAAGCAAATGAGAGTGAAAACCACTCAAAGCCTAATAAGATTATAAACTGCCACTCATTAAAAAAAATCCATATAATCAAGGACCAAACTGAAGATAATTCCAACTGCAATCTTTAGAACTGAAGTTTGGAGCAGGAACTGAGCAAGCCTTATGATGAGCAAATATCTCTGCAAATTTAAACTTAATTCAAAAAGTTCATTATTTAGTTCCACTAAGCAAGATTTCCTGTTGCCCCTCAAAAGGGGACAAAAACTAATTATTGGTGGTATAGAAATGATATATTTACATTCTTTTGCAAATTTAAAAGTAAAACCTCCACTTAATTGGGGAGGAATTTATTCCTCTTTACCAGTCTTTAATTCAAATTTCAAAATGATCTAAAGAATTGGAATTAAAGTTATCCTTTGACTGAGAAAAAATTCAATTAAACTTCTTAAAACACAATGATTTTGATGATGATTATTACGCATTTGAATGGGTTTGAGAGGAAGATAAAAGCAAGTCCTCCAGAGACTTCTCAGTAAAAGACAGATTCCCATTGTTGAAGGAAGAGCTGGGGGGGAGGGGCTTTTGTAAGTCTAAGGTCTTAAAGGTAGCAGTACTCAAGGCTTCCATTGTCCATGGACTCTATGGATCTATGGCTTGCCCCTTTGATTTGATTTCCAAATCAAAACCTCAAAGCAACACAGTGTTAGAAAGTTTGGGGAAATTAATACAAAGCTTGAAAGGGCAAAGGAGAACTAGTCGCCTTTACCATAAAGATGATGAATCTTCACAGTTAGGACAAAATATATGTTTGTCCTTGTTAGTCCATTTGAAAAGGAATCCCTTTAAGCTACTTATGATATGGGGTATAAAATATTACTTTTATTGGTATTAGTTTTCTCAGCAAAAGCTGATTTTTAATTTAGAGAGTTTTCTAAGAACTTTAAGCAACAAAAAATATGCTAACTGAATCTAAATTATGGTCTCCAGGGACAGTCAGTGTGTCTAAATGAGTGTGTGTGTGTGTGTTTGTTAAACTGTATGTTGTAATGTTACATGCATTAAAAAATATACTGGCTGTGTCTTGTCTTTCAGGGGATCTTGAAGGAAAAGTGAAGTGGCTTGACAATTTCCAAAAGTTTAGACATCTACAGGAGATTATAGTGTGGCCTCCACTTTGGGATAGAGATAGAAGGTTTTTCATTCCAGAGGTAAAGAAGAGATTAGTTAGAACTCCTGCCCTTTTCCTGAAGTCTGAAATTCAGGTGGAAATACAGTAGTTTTTGAAAGTCCTTAGCTGTCCACTTGGAGACCGAGTCTAGTTTAATGGGTCAAAGGTAAAGCCTTCATCCATATGATGAGATGTGGGGAGAGTGATATCATCATGCCACTCTTGGGAGGGGATGGGCCTTCTGAGAAGTTCCCACCCTTTTCAATTACCAGGTCTACCTATTAGCACTTCCAAGTATCTTGAACTTTATAGATGGAGTTCATTGTCTGAGCTCCTTGAACATGGTCTTTCTCAATCACTAAAAATATATCTTTTGTTTTCTCCCTTGTTTTGTTAGGGGTTGAAACACAATTTTAAAGAACACATGACAGAAAATGTCTTGTCACCAAGCAACAGGCACCTTCTCTATGAAGGAAAATTAACTCTTGCAGGTAAATAATTAATCTTTGCTATTGTGTAGCTTTTCAGTTGCTGTCAGTTGAAGGGCAAGAGGAATTGTACTTCCATCTTGGCCCAAGGTGTTAGAGGGCATGAATCAGAGTGTTCAGTTTCAGAAGACTTCACACTGCGCTAGCTGTGTGCACTCCATTTCCCCCACTAAAGTGAAATCATTGTATCTAGTTTGTGAAATCTCTTCTAAGAGGAAGTGCCATACATTAAGAACTTATTCAAGGGGCTGGAGAGATGGCTCAGCAGTTAAGAGCACTGACTGCTCTTGCAAAGGACCCAGGTTCAATTCCCAGCACCCACATGGTAGCTACAAACTGTCCTTAACTTCAGTTCCAGGGGAATCTGACGCCCTCTTCTGACCTCCACGGCATTGCATGACATGGGTGCACTCACATACATGCAGGCAATACACTCATACACATAAAACACTTTTTTTTAAAAAAAGAACTTGAATTCAAGGTCTGACATGCAGTCATGTCAGTCAATGACAGCAAGTGTCATCATCTTCATGTTACTCCCCCAATGACGGAGGCAATCAAGCTGCCAAGTGTTTGCTGAGGACCACACACTGGACTGAATAGGAGTCTCTGAAGGCTATGAAATGATGATTCTGTCATCCTTTCTCTCTAGCTGGGAGGTCTCTCCTGTCAGACCACACCATAAGTTCAGAAGTCTTTAGTCTAGGATGCCCAGCAAAGGTTTCATGAGAAACATGGAGCTAGAGGTTAGCTTTGAGGAGTAGAAAGCATGGAGTTGGACAGAGGAAAGACAGGGCATATGAGGAATGCAGCAGGAAAGGCCAGGAGGCAGAAGCCAAGGGAGAGAAAAGGCCCCTAACAGAGTGCATGGGACAGGAAACCCACGATTGACTGCCTGGTCTACCCTCACCTCAGCCTTTTCTGCTGGTCTAACCTTGTGCCAATCACAGGACTCCGACCTGTTTTGGTCCTCCCTTTGTTGTGAGGAATGAGTAAACCCACAGATGTACAAACACTCAAAAGAGTGATAGACACAAAGTCTGTGCTCCATAAATAGTATGATGATCAGAGAGGACTGTCACACGGGAACACACAAGAAGTCAGAGTTCCTTTCTAATTTCTTTTGATGCTGGGGATCAAAACCCAAGGCCTGCATGTGCCCTGTTACTGAACCATACCCCACTAGCTCAAGTCATTGAGTTCTTGACCAGAATGTGATAGGCCTAAAAGGGACCGAACAAAGAATTATCTAGAAGTAATGCAGAAAATGGCACAGAGGAAACAAAAGTAGGAAAGGGAACAGGCAGGGAGTTCAGCAATCAAGTTGCAGGATGAGGAAACAAGGGGTCAGAGAGGCTCTGGGGTTGTGATACACAATCATTTTTAACTGCAGTTAAACTACTAGTTTTATTTGGGAAGATAACAATTTTAACTTTTCTTCGATGTTATAAGTTCATACTATTATAATATATATTGTGTAATATATATGTAATTATATGTTGGGCCAGCGGTGTAGCTCAGCAGTACAGCATTTGCCTAATATCTACAAGATTTTGAGCTCCACATACACACTCCACATAAATATAAATATATATGACAAGATCAAATCAAAGTAACGGAGCAAGAAAACTGTTTCTTACTCTAGAACCACACACCTCTCCGTCTAAACCTGGTCTCCACCTGTAGTTGTCGAAATGTTGTTGACCCCCTTTCCCTCTCTCCAACCCTCCCAATAGTGTGAGATGCATTTGCTTCTCCAAAAATTTTAGGAATGATCATTGATAGAAAAAAATAAATGTGAATGTCGGAGCTATTTCAAGGGTAAAAGCAGGAAGACTTTATGATTAGTAAGACAAGTAAATAGGAAATAAGTCAAATAAGCCTTCACGTATTCTAATTATGTGTCTTAAACTGTTGATGACCCCGTGAGTACTGTGGGAATGGGTTAGGGTTTGGTGGGGCATGGTGAGACATTTCATGGATGCTAATGGGCATCTAGTGGATGGAAAGCCACATGTCCACTGTCATATAGGTACAAGGTAACTGTCATGAGGTAGGAGACGCACCCAAGAAAAAGTCTTCTTAACTAGACCCCTATTTTCTAAAAAATGCTTCTTGTAGGGTCATATGTGGTAGGATGTGGATGAACTTGATGAAGACGCTAATGCCACTTATTTAATGGCACCATCTGTTTTAGCCAAACTCAGCAGAAAAGAGACATCATGGTTTAATATGGTAATGTTAACTCAAGATTAAGTCAACCTTTGGTATTGAGGAGAGATTTGAATGGGCAGGGTCAAAAGACATCATTTTGAAAGGGAAAAGTCTTGAACAAGAATTGGGAGGTACTGGAAATGTAGCTCAGCAGTATAGCTCATCCTTAGCATGCAAAAGCCTCCACATGTGCACTGTGGCACATTCATGCCTATACATGCACACATACACATACATATACAATAATAGTATTAATAATAAAGTCAGAGAACTTAGTGCTTATTGTAGGCTTTAGAAAATTGTTTAAATTCCCTTAATCTCTTCTCTAAATATTGCTGTTGTTGTTGATGATGATGATGATGATATTGATGGTGATGAAACCTAAGATTTATATTGTGAGTCCAAATTTCTTTCAGTCTTAAAAAAAAGTAATATTATAACCAAATATCATACTTTTTAATCCCCGGAAAGTGCTAGTTCCTTTAACTTTTGGAGCATAACCATACTTCTCTCTGGTATTCAGGTAGCATAGGAGTCCCACAATACTGTCTGACAGGTTAGCATCTCTACGCAGAGCAGTGGGTGATGCAGTCAAGCACGTTTGGTCAGCTGAGGAGAGCCCCTGCTGAGTCAGGCCAGGAACGCTGCTCCTGGAACACAGCCCTCACTGGACTCCAGTGGGCCAGTACTTTGCTCTGGGACTTCTCAGCTTCCAAAACTGTGAGAAGTGAATTTCTGCTGTTTAAGCTACTAAGTATAGGATATTTTATTATGGCAACCTGAGTTAAGACAGACATCTAGTGTTGTCTAGGGTCAGTCCCTGGAGAGAGACATATCACTCAAATGATTCAGGTTTTCTCTCTCTCTTAAGTTCTGAGCTATGTGATCGTTCCACTCCATGTAGCGAACAGGGATCCAGGTTCTGTCTGCTCTATCATCATCTTCTGTGTGGCCCAAGAGGATTCACCATGTCTACATTCTATCAAGGGAGAAGGAGGGAAGGGATGAGACCACTTAGCCATGCCATTTATGGACATGACTCAGAAGTTTCAGACTTTTGTTCACAGTCCATTGGTCAGAATTTAGTCCCTTGGCTATCCTCAGCTGCAGGGAAGCTGGAGGTGAAGTATGTATTGCTCACGGTTGTGTGCTCACAGAAACTTAAGAAATTTGCTACTATCAGGGGAGAATGGCTTTTTGAAGAGTGATCAGCATTTTTGTCATCTGACTTATGAAAAGTAAAGTGTCTTAATTATGGAATACCACTTTTAAAAAACATTCTAGAAGATTCAAATTGAATAAAATATTCTTTTCTATGTAAATACAGTCTTTCTTCTTAAAGAAGGGATATAACTGACTCTTAAATATTTTATCCATTAATTTAACTTTTGCCACTTGGCTTCTGGGAGTAAAGGCATATGAGGAACAACTTCTAGAATAATACACATAAAACAGTAAATAGAACGAACTAAAAATGTTTACTAGGTTTTTCCCATATTTGCTGTAGTTCAAACCCCTTCTAATCGGACTACTTTTTCCTGTTCAATCACTCTGTATGCATCTCTCTTCAGATTTCTAAGGAATAGGGTAATAAAGGAGGGGGGTTACCTTCATCTAATATTTGATTTCTCTTCACCCACTGCTTCCATCTTTGGGAAAAGTAGAAAAGCCTATTTGCCTTAAGTAACTATTAACCGTGATATCAGAAAATGAAAAAGAAAAACAACTAAAATAAAGTGACATGAAGATATTTAGACATTTTTAAATGTTATAAAACATTAAAAAAAAAACTAGTTGTCAATGAAGTCTGCTGAATGAAGCAGTGTAAACTGAACTCCTCAAACAGAGGTTGCTTCTGGCAGTCTGGAGGCAGGTCAGGGCACTGGTTCATTCTTACTGGTGGTTCCTGGGAGCACACTCATCCTGGCTTGCAGACACCTCCATCTTTCTGTGTCCTCTCAAGAGAGAGCCCATTGGTATCCTCCTGTGAAGACACTAATCTACTGGATCAAGACTCCACTCTCATGACCTCATTCTACCATAATTATTTCCTTACTTCAAATTTGGTCATACTGGGAGTTAGGGCTTCAGGGAGGTACATAGTTTGGTGCATAGAAATGACTGAAGGTCTTTTCTGTGGTGACTGTGTGCCTTTGCCAGTGACTACCCAGACAGATGCTTCAACGGGCTAAACCCTGAAGGTTGTCCCAAGCTTAGATAAAACCATACAAGTTATCTTCAATCCACTGGAAATGCGCCAGAAATACAATATCATTCAAGTTGGAGGCTTGAGTCTGATCCAGTCTGTGTTTCAGGAGGAAATCAATTGAACATCGACAGGCAGTTTTGTGAGCTCCCTGGGCTGCCACCCTACCCTGCCTTGTTTGATAAGAGAGTCTTTGATTAAAAAAACAAAAAAATTAAAGTTCTGCTTGCTGTTTTGAGCCCCATTTTATCTTCTCTTTCTTTCCTCAGAAAGCACAAGATCCCTTGATGCCTATCTGTTTCTCTTTGATGATTTCCTCTTAATTACGAAAACTAAGCGCAACAAAAAGGTAAAATGCTGCAGCTGTGAAGTAAGCTTCTAAATGAGCAGGAACATGTTTCTGCTTGGGCTCTATTGAGGCCGCACAGTATTTTTAAAAATATTTTATTTATTATTTTTATTTTATGTGTATGTGTGTATTGCCTGCATGTAGGTAAGTGCACCTGTGTCATGCAATGCCCGCAGAGGGCAGAAGGGGCTATCAGATAGATCCCCTGGAACTGGAGTTACGGACAGTTGTTAGCTGCCATGTGGGTGCTAGGAGTCAAACCTGGGTCTTCTGCAAGAATAACCAGTGTTCTTAACTGTTGAGCCATCTCTCCAGCCCCCCTGCGCAGTTTTTAAAATTCATTTTTATGTGCATGAGAGTGCATGGTGTAAGTGCACCGGTGTTGTGCAGTGAGTGCCCGTAGAGGTCAGAAGAGGGCATCAGATCCCCTGGAACTTGAGTTAGCTGCCATGTGGGTGCTGGAATTTGAACCTGGGTTTTCTGCAAGAACAGCCAGTGATCTTAACTGCTGAGCCATTTCTCCAGCCTCAAAGCTGCACAATATTCTTACACATCAAATTGGGTATCACCTTCTATAAAATAAAATAAATGATAAATTACGTTTCTCAAGGATAGCAAAGCAGATGTACATCTTGAGAACAAATCATTCTGCATACTTTCAAGCTAAGTCCCAGAAATCATGGGATTTTATGTCTGACCTGCCGAACAAAAAGCCCAATTCATCTCCTGTCCATAATGGCCCTTCCAAACTGGCTAGCACAAAAACCTGCCAGAAGAGGGGAGGTGCTGTAACCCATGTGTAGCCACATGGCAAGGTGGTGTCCAGCACTTGTTCTGACTTGAGAGTTCACATCATTCTTGAGAAATGATAATTTGGAGCTGGGAGTGTGGGGGAAGAGGGGAGCCCTGATCTTTTAGTGTCTATTTGCAAGAGATGCAAAAGCTATCAAACTGTACTGCTGGACCACAGACAAATGAGCCTACTGGGAACAACAGTCACAAAAGCTACCGAGAATGGCTGATTTTTGTATTTTGTAATATCAGTGTTACCATTACTGTTGTGGTGGTGGCTGATATTATTTTTACTACTCATTAAATCACAATTCTGATGTCTAGACTCTCTGTTATCTCCCACTTCAGTCTTGCTTCCTGAATGGTACATGGGAACAGTATTTGGAAGGCTAGCTCCTCTAAGCACTCAGGCATCTGCTTTTAGAAGTGGCAGGAAATGCAACATGCCATCAGCTCTCAGAGACATCTAATGTTTATGTTACTCATTTCTTTACCAAATGACTGGCATATGCAGTAATATCATGAGATTACTAAGTACCTTATTTCTTTTGATAAACAAACCTCAAAAAGGCATGTGGGTTAGTTGAGCTAAATCATTCAAAGATCTTTAAGCAATAAAATAGACACTCATTAATCAATTTATGAATAGTTGATGAGTGGTTGGGAGGGAGTAAGGGTTGAAAAATATTGAAAGTTACAGTTTCAGAATTTATCTGGCCTCCTATTTTAAGTTATTAAGACTCACATGTCAGAGCAGGCCAAGTTCTGGAAGCCTCTATGCCCCCTTCAGAAACCTTAATGCCAGCACAGCTTCTGACTTCACCTCTAAGAATGGCACAAATTACAGCATGGGAGTTGACAGTAGCTCATACTGGTCTTATCACCAGACAATATATGTAGCTAACAGCAGCTCACATTGGACATATTACAACTTGATTTTGAAATAAGGAATGCTATCCATTCCATTCCTGTTTGCTGTTTTGTGTTCTATACATGTCATGCAAGATGCAATCTTCACAACTTTAAAAAAATTTAGCCTTTTGTATACTTAAGGCATTTTCAATTGCTTATAAATGCTAGGGCATGCAATCTTTTTACAGTTTCATGTTAGATCCCACACATATATGCAAAAGGAGGCTCCTCTTCCCCATCCCTCTTAGAAAGAGTAAGATTCTGGATTGAGGATCATCCCAGTGATATGATAGTGACTACAGGGTTTTTTCCATTGTAGGTGCCAGGCATTATTTAGTTGGGTAATCAAACTTATAGAGATCAGAAACACTTTGCTTTAAATCCTAAGCTTTGAGAAAATGCTTTTTAAGATCTAGAAAGAACAGTAAGCTAGATGTCATCAGACTGGCTTCTAAGCATCTATTGCTTTATGATAACCGTAGGCACCGGCACCAGTATCTGTTCCTGATATGCCGCACTGTTTTCCTTTTTATTTTCAGAAACTTGGAAGCTCAGATTCTGGTTTAATGTGTCCTTCACTTACTCCTGAGCTACAAACTGTAATAAAAGAGGGAGGCTCATGCACAGTGCTTGATCAGCCCATTCCACTAGACAGATTGGTTGTCAAGAGTGTTGACCCCCTCCACGTGTCAGGTATGTGTGGTTTCCCATCCTTCAACAATGTTGTCTGCCATCAATTTCATATTGGACTAGTTTTTGGTTTTGGTAGCAAGACATAAATCTTAAGCAAGACATGAATCTAACTTGTCATCATAAAGGGCAAGCCTGTTCCTATGTGGTATATGCCATTCTATGAATTAGTTAAGGTATCCAATCAGAAGGTGGTGAGTTTCTCATGACATTCCTGTCACTACTGTACCAGTGTGTGTATCTTACAAGGGCAGTCATTAACTGTAGTTCAAGGCTGGGTAAGACTGATGATTACTTTTCTCCTCCAGTAGCATGCATAGCACCTTCCAGCACTGTGAACATTGGGCAGTAGAGATGGAGCTATGAGCTTTGATTTCTCCATGCTTGTTCTACGACTCACATATACAGTGCCTTCAGCAACATGATCTTACCATGAAGTTCTGAAGGGCACCAAGAAGTACAGTTTGAGGCTCTATGGGACCTCCCTGGTCAGCAACTCCAAAAGAGGAGCCCATTCCTGGCATTGGGCTTTTTATTTGATAGTCTGAGGTGCTGCTAGTAGGGGCTCATTTTTAATACCAATGCTACTGTAAAAGCACTGACAAACCATGGCACATTTTGAAAGTGGAGATTTTATTATAATCATTCTATAGAAATATGCCAGAAATATATAAATATATATGCATGTATGTACACATTCACAAACATTCATATAATAAAGAGATATAATTTTAAAATTTGTACTAAAGTGTTTCTTGAGTGCCACTGAGAGCCATGCTCTCAGCAGGCCCTGGTCATCCTGAGTAAGAAACAGACTTTGTCCTTGAGGAGATCTCAGAACAATGAAAGGTTAGTAAATATGCCAGGAAAACACCAGGCCTCTGAGAGACATTCCTTCAAAGAGCACTTTTGATTCCTCAGGAATAGGTGGGTGGTGGCAGCATTCAGGAGAGACCACACAGCCACTTTCTGACTGGCTACCCAAGACTAGGCCTGTGAGGAATGCTACCCTGCTGACTACGGGAGAAGGAGGCAGCATTCCCTCAATTTCCACTCCAGTGGCCAAGCCCGGAGCATTGACGGCCAGCAGAGAACCAACCCAGACATAATAGAGCAATCTTCAGCAATGGAGTGACTGATCAAACATAGCAAACTCACATAGTTATGGTCTATAACTGAACAATGGACTCAAATGTCTCCTATATATTAACTCCTGAGTGGATGGAACTCTCCCCCAAAGCAGAAGGGCCCCACCATGGGAAGCTTATACCAAGTTATACTTTCAGTAAAATATGCTGGAAGGTGACACTAGGCGGTGTAGAAACCTTTGTGCTTGACTGGGCTGTAACCAATCATGGTTTGGCTTGCTAGTCACCTTTCCAGATCTGTGCTAAGGAAGTGCACCATGAGGAGGGGGTGAATATCAAGGTTCCATAATCTCTTTCCAGCGCAAGTCTCAAACAATCTAAGACCTCCCACCAGGCCCCACCTCATAAAGTTTCGACTGCCTACAAATAGAGCTAATTTGGGGACCAAGAGTTTAATGTGTGAACTATGGGGGACCGTCATTAACCAAATACAGCATGAGCTGCATGAGCCAGAGTATTTTAGGAGCAAACTGGAAAGGGTGTTGCATGGTACATGTGCCATATGAGGCCCTTCCCTGCTCAAGGGGGCCGAGTCATGCTGGAACAGCAGGAATGCACTGTGCAGGGCCAGAAACCACTTCCAATTCACTGTTTGTTTACTTTTTCATGAGGGAAAAAATCCCACAGAGAATTATCTTAGGCTAGGTGTCTGTCACTAATGATTCTGAGGATTCTGGTCTCTCGAGTGGGGGATGATGCTCTAATCTCCAGTAGGAAATTGCTTGGCTGAGAACAGATGTAAGTGGAGATGTATTGAGTGTAAGGAACTAACAATACCTCTGAGAGATTTTAGCCAACAGATGATATGAGAAACAATTGGGGAAACTGTGGGGAGCAGGCTCATCAGCCTAAAACATAGCTTCAAAGTGTTCATATAATCTGGTTACAGACAGAAATCTTAATGTAAATTCTGTCTCCAATTAGTGAAAATGACCTACATTGGGTGGTAACAAAATGAACCAAATACCCTTCATCTACTTAAGCTGATGGATTTGGTAGTTAAACCTTTATATTAGAATGTTGGCTGCTTATCTAAAATAATTTCTAAAAAGAATACTACTTGAAGTTCACTGAACTACTGGTCCTCATATACATTAAGGTCTAGAAGGGATCTCAGAAACAACATAGTAAAATATTTTTTAAAATACTTTATTTTTATTATCTTATGTGTATACGTGTATTGCTTGCATGCTGTAGTGCACCCGTGTCATGCAATGCCCATGGGGGTCAGAAGCGAGTGTTGAATTCCCCTAGAAGTGGAGTTACAGACAGTTGTTAGCTGCCATGTGGGTGTTGAGATTTGAACCCAAGTCCTCTACGAGAGCAGTCAGTGCTCTTAATTGCTAAGCCATCTCTTCAGTCCCAATAATACAATATTTTTATAGGCAAGAGACCCTGAGGTGCAGAAAAGCTAAACAACTTTTCATGTGTTAGTAGATGTTTCTTACATTTTTAATTTCGTGGTAATCAGTGTTACTTAATTTGCTTAACATCTAGTATTCCCTACATCCAATAAGTTAAATATTATGTTACAAAAACATTGAAAATCCATGTATTATCATGGTATACCACCAAGATTCTAAGTACCTTGCTATGGTACACTTAAAAATTTTCAGATTGGTAACCTACAGACATGGATGCATGATCATGAAATCAACCGAGTACACTTGACCTTGAAGGCTGGAAGGCTTACTGATTCTTCCTGCCCAGCATCTTACTTAGCATGCCCCATTCAGGAACCTCAAGTCTCCTTAACTTGTCCTTACCTGTGCTCTGATTCCATGGAAGCCACACCATACCCTTGCCTGGTGCTGCAGCTGTAGAAGCTCTCAAACCTATAACCTAATAACTTCAACCTCCCATAACCTAATTAATCACTTGGCCCATAAAAAAGAAATTCCTTTGTTTAAAGAGTTCAGTCCATTTTTAGGAGAAAAGCAGAGAACTTACCATATTTTTAAGAATTTGTTTTGCCTTTGTTAATTTTATGAAAATACAATTTTTTAGTTATTCAGATTAACACAAATAAGTAAAACTGAAAAATCATTTTTAAAACCACTTTTTAGAAATGGTTAGCAGCTAGGTGTGGTGGTACATGCCTTTAATCCCAATGCTCGGGAGTCATAGGCAGGCCAAGTTCTGTGAGATCAAGGCTAGCCTGGTCTACGTAGTGAATTCCAGGCCACCTGGAGTTATAGGGAGACACTCTCACACACAGAAAAAAAAGTTAGCAAGGGGCCAGGGGAGACTAAGAATGCTTGCTGTGCTTAGAGAGAACCCAAGTTCAGTTCTCAACACCCACATCACACAGCTCATAACTGCCTATAACTAACTCCAGCTTCAGGGGATCTGACACTGTCTTCTGACCTGGCAGGCATCCACACATGTGGCAGACACATATACATGTGCACAAAAACAAAATATAAAAAATCTAAAACAAAAAATAGTTAGAAATGCTACCTAAAAAACTGGCCTCATCCTGTTGTGTGTGTGTGTAACAAGGTTACCAAAGACAGTAGTTATAGTGAAAATCATTACATTTCTAAGTTTCATTTCTGTTAATTGTAAAAAATTATAAATTGACACACTGGATTTTTTTCCCCCTGAGTTATGACACAGCTAATTATTCAGAAGTTGTATATAATCAACAGTCATTCACTAATATACTATAGAAAAGATTTCAATGGACCAGTCATTACCCTCCCCAAATAATCTTAGTGTTACTGTTTCCCCAAAATATTAACATATTTTATGAAATATCTCATCTGAATAAGTCATTTATTTTTATGAAAGTAAGAAGAAATTATTATTGTGGTTGAATACAAATCTCACCTTTTAGAAGAAAATTCACAAAATTTTCTTTCAGGCAGTGAACGGCAGAAGGAAAACTGCTTTTGGTAGTAGCAGAAGTCCTGCCATCCTAACTCCCCATGTAGACTGCGCCCAGGCCACCCTGAACACCCTGTGTCTTCTCTAACTCCCCACGTAGGCTGCGCCCAGGCCACCCTGAACACCCAGTCTTCACTAGTTCCCCATGAAGCCTGTGCCCAGGCCACCCTGAACCCTGTCTTCTCTAACTCCCCATGTAGCCTGCGCTGACTACTCTGAACACTCCCATCTCCTTTAACCCATGTAGCCTACGCCCAGACCACCCTGAACTGTGTCTCCTCTGGCTCCCTGTGTAGACTGCTCCCATGCCTAATCTGGTCCTCTGATCTATTGTGAGTGTCTGGATAGTGTATGAGGCAATACAGCTATAGTGGGAAAGAAGTGAGGACACTGGAGGGACAAAGACCTAATTCCATACAACCATATCACATATAAGCTGTGTGACTCTGAAAAAATTAATCTGCATTTCATCCCTGCTCATGTGTACATAGTAACTAGGTGGCCTACCATATATGGTTGCTGTGTGCTTTAAACAACACAGTATAGGGCCCAGTATACAGTGAATGTCTAAAGCCTGTCCTTACATTAGCATATCAGAAAGAAAGCAGCAGCTTCTGGTCATCTCTTGCCTCAGTACTGTACTTTAGAGGGGAGCTATGATAGGTCTCTTGCTTATGAAGCCCCTATGTCCGTATTATTCCAGAAGACAAGTTCCACCTGCACTTCCAACTTTTGAGGACAATGGATTCCCAACACCAGCCAAGAGCAACATGTTTAAAGCCTCACTTGGCACAGGGATTGAGGAAAACACAGATCTTTTTCTAGATGTCATTTGACTAGGTTTGAATCTCATTCCAGAGAACCTTCGTTTATGAACAAGCAGACTTTGTCAACTGTGAGGTTAAGAGCTCTGTATCATCTGTGATACTGGAATTGTTCTTACAATTAAGAAAAGTCTTGCATTCATTTTGACTCAGGAAACAAAGCTTGACTTAACCTCAGTTAGGTCTGAGGTAAATTCACAAACTCCAGGTTAACTAACAAAGGCCCTTAAGATTGCCCTGGAATAAGTCATTTGCTGTTTTTCTCCTCCGTAAGTACTTACTGTGACCAAGAAACAGTCCTGCTATGGTTTTTCAGTTTGCTTCTGAACATTAACAAATGTAGAAGGAATGTATAAGCTGCAGAATTTTATCCCTGGTGTTTTATTAATAATTTAAGAACAGATTTCCACTTTTCGAGCCCCTGCTTTAAAAAAATATTCTGCTGCCTTGGTATCTTATCTTTTTGAGACTAGTTAGAAAATGCTAGAGCAGATGGCTTTTCAAACACAGAACTATGCATTTCTTTTCATTTTGCTTTGTTTCCTGTTTCATATACTTTGATACATAATTGCATTTCACTTTTTTTTTTAACCTACTGGGAAATATTCAGGTGGTTTTGTATTTCTGCTATGTCTTAATTATAAGCCTTATTCTGATATGACTTCTCTTTAAAAGATAAGCATTTAAAAAGGAATGGTGAATTAGGCATGGTAGCAAACCCCTTTAATCCCAGCACTTGAGAGGCAGATGTAGGCAGATCTTTGTAATATGGAGGCCAGCTTGGTTTACATAGTGAGTTCCAGGCCAGCTAGGGCTGCAGGGAGACCCTGTCTCAAAAACAACAAACAAACAAACAAAAAAAGAGGCATAAAATAAATCTCACTTTCATCTTTTTACACACACAAACAGGAAATCCACCTGATCATGTTTAGCTTGTTCTCTGAAGACTCCATTTTCCATCCATGCCAGAAGTCCCTTGCATTGGTTCAACAGCTCCCATTCTAATAAAAGCAAATATCAAAGTAGGAAGCAAACCTTATCACCTAATCTACATAACACATCCATCCTCTGAACAAAAACAGACCCAAGTACAAGATAAACCCCAGGTTCTTTGAGCTAAGAAATTGTTTGGAGTTGATATTAAATGATTTGACTTTTGTCTTTGTAATATTTTTTTCTAGTCTTTGGGCTGAGAAATGCTTTTCTTATACAACATGAAAACCGGTATCGACAGTGTATAGCAGCATTCTTATTACAAGCCCAAACGGAAAATATCAAAGTATGTATCTTTAATTTGTAGGTTTTTCATTCTTTAGTTTCTGTAAGGAAAGCTTTTAAGGTGAATTGGTCTGTGTATTCCTTTCTCAGCATTGGGAAGGGCAGATGCTGGGAGGAGGGGAGGGTGATGATTCATCCATATGCTGCTCAATCTTCACCAACAGGGAGGGGACCTAGCCTCTTGCTTTCTCCTGCCACACAAGTCAAGATCTGCCTCTGAGTTCTTCAGTTTCTGTAGGAAATGGGCAGATAATTGCTTTGAGTTGCAAATAATGCGTTATCAGTTTAACTGAGGCCCAAAGCATATAACGAGCTATACATATATCACAGCCACTCTTCAACCTTTGAAACCAGGCTGTTGTTTTTACAGCTATGGAGAAAAAAGGGCAGCTGCCTGACTCAGGCTTTGCTGTCTTAGAAGTTCCTATTTGTCTTTCCTCTGTTGGATAGTCTTACATCCAGGTAACAATATGGCCATATAATAAGTGCAATATTACATTACTATCACTATTTTAGGTTCTTTGAGAGAGGGTCTTAACGTGTGGTCCAAGTGGTCTGAAACTTGCTACATAGCCCAGGCTGTCATCAAACTCATCATCTTCCAGCCTCAGCCTCCCAAGTGCTGGGATTATATAGAGGTGTGCACCACCATGCTTTGGCTTGTTTTATTCTTAAGAACTCAATCTGCTGGTTCACTTCCCAAGAGAGTGTGAATTATAACACTAATTGGAGAACTTCTTTTTCTTTATGGGAATTCAAGCAATACAACTTTCGAACTACCTATAGTGCTCATTTTCCTAATTCATTATTTCTTACTATTACAGCTCCTCGAATGCCCAGTACTATATCCAACTTGCACACCCTTACTCATTTAAAACATTTGCATTTTGTGTGTGTGTATGTGTGTGTGTGTGTAGGTTAAAGGTGTTTATATCAGATGTCACAAGAAAAACCAAAAGAGACACAGCGTGGACTATCAATCCAAGTGTGAGAAGTTTTCAGTTAAAATTCATGGTTTTTTTTTTTTCTTCTTCTTTTTAACAGAAAACATGGATAGCACAAATAACCACAGCAATCTCTGGCTTCATGAAGAGTCAAGAAACCAAGAACATCTCTTCATTTACACTGCCTTCAGAATCCTCTGAAATTTAGAGACCTAAAATAAGTGGTATATCTTTTTAGAGGTTAGGGATTATGGTATTTGCTCATTTAAACTTTTCAAAAACATTTGCCTAGGGATGAATGGAAGGAAATGGGCACTGTAAATGCATTCCAGAATTTGAGAATTTGAGCCAGGAAAGTCCTTAGAGGAATAATGACTGCAACATATTTGAAGCCCAAGGAGCATCTTAACATATTCATACTGATAATCCTAGACTATCTTCTAGTGTTTTTGTCAAGTTTGTAAAGAGGTGTGAGTAAAGATAGTGCTGTAGAAATTTGTAAAGGGTGAGTATCAAGTAAATGAAGTGCCAGGAAGAAACCCATGTCCACGGCTTAGAATTCCAGTGTCTTATTCTGTATCTGTAAAATAATGACATCAGTTTTCCTGTATCACATGTATATCAGTCTTATTACTTTATACTCCTACCTCAAACATAAAGGTAATTTTTTATATAAAGTTTGATTGCTCTTTTAATATAAGAATAAATGTCTATATTTTAATAGCAGTTTTCAAATTCCTATTCTCCAACAGTCAGTTTTCTTAACTTAGGTATATTTATAATGTTCTAATTTAGAAGGAGAGAACCCCAAGGAGGAAATTACATTATTTTAAGAAAGAGAAAAATAATTGTTTCCCATTTGTCAGTTAACACTCTCTTGAGGGATGTTCAGAGAAATAGTGAAGTATCTTTCTCACAGTTTCATTTTTTGAAGAATGATATCTGTCAGAAAATTATTTTCTGGATTTGAGTGGTACATGTGTATTAGTGTAGTCAACTGTATCTGTCAGAATTTAAAACTTCATTAGAAATTTTACCAATAAAAGCAGCTTGAACTATTATATTTTTTCAAGAAGGAATATGCTATTAACTCCATTTAAAGAAACAGATCAACAAAGCCTACAAATTTCAATTTCAGGCATGGTACTTTTTGTTATTTACAAAGTGGAAATATAAATTGATCAAGTTTGGGTACAGAACAAGTGAAACTCAATTGGTTTCTTTAATTAAGGTGAAGGAGAGAGGGGATGATGTTTGTGGAAACTGTACACATAGTTCTTCACCCCATAACCTAAATAGCTCAGAAGGAAGGCTCAGCAAGGGCCATGCTCTTTCAGAATGGAGGATCATAGTCTCTTTGTAGGGGTCGGACATTCATTAGGATTAAGTGAAAAGAAAAGGAACATGGAGAAAACAGTAACAATTGTTAGATTAAATAAGGGAAGGGGAGTAAATGGGATGAATAAGGACAAAGTATAATGCCTTGTTTGTATGAAAATGCCAATGTATAAAAATGCATGCGAACTTTAAAAATTAAAAAGATCAAAGACGGGAGGAAGGCAAAGAACACACTTCCCATGAGTTCCTGGAGACGGTGTTCACATGGAACTGAAAGTGATGTCCGAAAGAAGGCATCAAGACAAGACCTATGAAGAAATTTCTGGCTACAGAAACTATTTTTAGGGAAAAAAAGTTTAACAACCACCTTGCAGGAACTGTTAGCTATCGACCAAAGAAGGATGGGGACAATAAACTCGGAACAGGTAACTCCCAGGATTTCTTTAGTGAAAAAAAAAAAAAAAAAAATCAGTTTCATGCATAAAGAACTAGTTTTCTGTTTGAATTCCATCAACCAAGTTAGCATAGAGGATGTAAAATAGCTTAAGAATAGGTCACATATGAACTTGAATTCTATACAGCTCACAAAGTAACATCTGATATATATACAATATATTATATGCTTAAGAGTAAGCACACTGAACTCTTCAGAGGAAAGCACATTAGAATGAACTAAGGAAAAAAAGAATTTGTTGTAAACCCTAGGATTCAAAGAAAAAAAGATGAAAAACAAGTGCATGTTGGAGCTTTAAATGGTCCTCTGGGTATTAAACTTATATACACAATAAAAGGAGGAATCAATTATATTTTAAAGTGTTTCTTGTTAGCTTTGTTAATTCTCCACAAACTGAACAGGATGAAGAGGAAATGTCTCACTCAAAATGGTATTAATGACTTCTCTTGAGATCAGGAACTTAATTACATAGCATTAAAACAGGGTCACTCTCTGTATCCAAGTGTAAAGTCCTAACATTCAATGAATTAGTAAAAATAAAATGGTTAATATTGTGTTCTCTTTTGAACTAAGCAAAACAATTATAGTCAAAGGATAATATCTGCTAGAAAGAAATGTTCTTTAATATCATCTTTAACATATTAAAAAAAGAAGTGACAATTCAGTAAGGATCCTTCCATTATTCTTTATACAGATTTAAATGCTGTCTTGTAATTTATCAATTCTATTTATAATCAATAACTTTCTAATCACCCAGATTAGAAATTACAGTATTTACTGAGTAACCTCTCTCACAAAATAAGGCACAACTACATGATCACAAGTAGTAAACACAATATAAATAATGAATCCCAAAATTAAATGACAAAATATTCATGCAAATGTATGTACAGAAGCCATGGACAGATGATCTACTTCAAAGCACAAAATGTCAGATACAACTGTATCATGTTACAGTAAGTTCATTACTTCTACTCAGAAAGAATGTAGTGATATTCAATTCTATTTTACACAATTTTACATAAATTCAGTAAGTTTATACACAATATTCACATCTGAAACATTAACAAATTGATCATTAAAATTCAGGCAAATGGCATTAAGACACGGCAATATGTGGCACATTATAATTACAGAATATCATTCATCAAGCTACATGTCTAGGAACATTAAATTGATGGCACATTTAAATCTTATAGATCAAGTTATACACGGTTTTTATAGCCAAAGTGCATTTTAAAAAACTGCCTAGGCAAACAGGTCACAAATATCAAAATATATGACCATGATTTGCTCTCCACTTAGAAGCTAAACATTTTATGCAAATGCAAGATTTAAAAAGTGGCCTTAAAGATCTCAAAACTATATAAAATAATCATAAAGACTTTTAAAGAGGGACAGGAAAATAAATTTGGCAGTTACTATTTAACATTACTATAAGGAAACTATTATAACTAGCTAATTCCACTTTAAGAGGTAGTTGAACAAAATGTTATTTGTACACTGCACTGAGGTTTTTGTGTTTGTTTCCTTCTTTTCTTTCCTCAAAAGGAACAAGCCCTATATCAGCAGCTTTGTTTGATTTCTATTAAAACAATTCTTTAAGTACAGTTCATTGTATACTAACCCAGCAAGACTTGATTTTAACTTACATTTCTGTGCTGGGATTTGCAGTCGCCAACACCTGATGCTTAAAACATTTTACATTACAGCCAAGAACTGGGACTCTGTATGTGCCAGCTCTAACTCACCAACAAAACAACAGTACCCACAAACATCTAAAATGTGTAGCCAAAAAGAACTCAGAAGAGGACTTTTTAAATTAAATGAGAAAATAAAACTTTAATGTTCCTGATGCATATTAAATTGGTAAGGGTTACTAGGAAAAGAAAAACATTTGGCTTCATTTGTGACATTAATAGAGTAGCCTATGGTAGGAAAACTATTTGGGACCTATGACATGAGATCAGCTGGTGAGAGCAAGAAAATCACCTAAAAGTATTTGTTGTCATGCCCCGCCACCCTAGATTTTTTGTGAACTGGGGAGGGGGCGAGAGAAGCTCTTCAGTGTGCCCAATTACAGGATTAAATGAACAAATATTTTAGTACAGAAATCTCATGAAGTGATGCTGTGAATATTTGCATTTTAAAGACATATTTCAAGCTACTTATATGTAAAAAAATAGTATAGAATTAGGACTACTTGAAAGGATTTACAATTACATAAAGTGTATGAATACCTCAGTTTATACTATCCAACTATTATTTTTAAGAAAGAGCCATTGCATTGCTTCATTAATAAAAGCTCAAGGACATATCCTTATCCAAGCCCAGAGACTTAATCAGTACCCTTAGCAGCTCCTGACAACAGGGTTTAACTTTGTGTTAATAATTAAATAATATATGTCAGTCTCTTGTTGGTATGTTAAAAGTATGACATAAATGTGAACATTTCAGCATGATATCTGAAAACAAATGTGTCTTATAAATGAAATATTAGCTTTCATTTTCTCTATTATTATTACATAATTAATTACACTGATTTAATGTATATCTTTACATTTCTTCTCCTGAAACATAACTAAAAAACCAATATACAGTGACTTCTGTCTTCAAATGCTTTCCAAATTTCCAAATTTATAAGACTCTGAAAATTCAATTCCATCAGTAAGCAGACAAATGATTCTTATGGTGCTTAACAAGTCTGTGTCAGTTTTTAATCATAATTTAGGACTTCCTAAGAATATTTGTTTTGGGGCTATAGATAGTCTATCCTTTAGCTAGTAGGTAAAAGTAGCTGCACAACATTATTTTTGCAAAGTTCAAAGATTTCCTAGTTACTCTGGAACCCCAGGTCAGAAGCATATGAAGCCAACCTTAAAACTTTATCCCTATGAGGCAAAAAGAAGTCTAAAATAGAACATTTTATATCATTTTCAGATAGGACAATAGTAGTATCAGTTACTAGCTTTAAGAATGTTAAACTGCAAAAACAATCACTGTGAAGCCAAGCTATGCCTGTGATGGTTGAACAGTATTAGGAAAAGAAGCAGATTCATTTAACAAGCAAAATTCCTGAAGCTTTTGAGAAACAAAATAAGGCTGTAGTGTGAGGGCTAATCTTAGAAGACTCCCCACTAACACATAAACAGGAATGGGACCATTATACAGTTCTATTATCCATCCTCCAACTGAGGGTGAGGGTGGAAACTTTTATAAGATTAAAGGTCAGTATGTGGGAGTCTGAAAATGAGACAGAAAAATACAAAGTAACCCTAAATTTAAAATTGTACAGCCCCAGGGTTACCATAAAGTAAACAAATTCATTTTACAGAAGGTTTCATCAAATCTACTCAAAAATTTAATCAATACTGTTAAAACAAAAACCATGTTTGAACTCATGTACATTATTTTAACATAAACTGTATTTGGAACACTCAAGTAGTAACATTAACAATGTAACTGAGCTATAGACTTATAAATGATAAAAACATAGGAATTGTTATATTCCTTTGTATGACTCCACAAAGAGAATATTTAATAGAATTAACATTTGCAATAAAAACAGCAACAAGTGGTAACAATCATCCATGTACAGTTGTACATATAATCTGAGAGAAAGAAGCTAAGGAATTGGTTTATCATTTGTGAACAATGAAATTATATTTAAAAAAATACATTGCTATTTTCTGTCCAAAGTTTATATACATGTCATTGGCTAACTCTAACCTTGGCATGAAAGCTGTTTCAGGAGTTAAATGGAAAAAACTAATCAAAAGATGGACCCAAGTCTCACAAAAATAGAAGAGTTTTACTTGATATTGATAACATTCCAAAATATAAGAATTCCAACTTGATCTATTATGCAACCAGAGTCCAAATCAAAGAGCACTCCAAGACTTCCATTCAGCATATCTATTAAAAATTTAATGTTAGTATAATATTACTCTGCAGTTGTGGTAACCTATTATCCTTGCAAGTCATTGAAACATGAATCACAGACACGCACAGGCTTCTTGGAAGAAGGAGTTAAGGCATTTTTGGCTGAACACTCAGCACAGAAGATATTTCCACACTGTCGGCAGTGATGCTGTTGGGAAAAAATTTAAACAACTTCAAGCACAAAATCTATACCAGAAAACTATAAAGCTACATGAACATTATTACAAACTGCATTGTGAAGGTATAGTAATCATGTAGTAACTACTTGATCACTTAATCACAGCTCAATAAGTTAATCCTGTGTTACTTTAATCTTGTTAAATTGAAGGTTTCCTATTCATTAAACAATATGCTAAGCCTTTTAAATAGCTTTTGCTTTTATCCTAGAATTCTCAAAAGAACCCTAGGAAGTCTTTTTAAATGTGTTAAAGCACCTCTATCAAATGAGAAACTATTCACCAAAAGTCTCAGGGATAATATCTTCACTTGAAATGTAAACATAACAGCATTATTTAGGAAACATTTCTTTAAATCTTTCTGTTGTTGCTTCTTTTCAAAGAACCCAAAGATAACTAAACCACATGAGTTTAATATTGGCCCATTACTTCAGAAAATGACTGTCCCAGAGAATTTGAAGCAGTGTTTGAATTTAAAACTAAAATTCAAGCACACGTGATAACCAGAAACTAGCATGCATAAAGCTTAATTATGTAGTTAAAAACAAGAGTTAACTAATACACACAAGTTGTTAAAAAATTGTGTCAAAGGCAGGAGGACTAAAACAGTCTCTGAGAAATGAAATTCATAAACATAGGCCTATAATGAAATCACTTACCCGTCTCACTGTGACCGAAAAGGTTTTCCCACAGGACATACAGTTTTGTACTTCATTGTCTTCAGCCCACTTTCTATTCAGTGCTTGAGTGTGTTTGATCTATTTTTTAAAAGTTTTGATACATTAGAATATTCAACATTTAAAAGAATGATGGATGAGTTATTTCTAATTTGGTCCCAGATACTAACAAACTTTTGACTTTATGCCACATGGAATAAAATTTTAAAGTAAGAAATACTTTTGAGAAATGAAATTCATAAACATAGGCCTAAAAAGCTATACTTATAAATATGACAAGCTATACTTGTCAAAAAGCTATACTTATAAATATGAATGACAAAATAAAATTAAAGTTTTATTCTTCAGATGCACTGACAATTTCTAAGCTTTGGCAATTTTGCATTCATTCTAACCCCACTGATTATTCTTTCCTCAGGATTCTGAGAGCATACCTAAATCACTTCTTCATTTTCTGTTTGCTTTTTTTTTTTTTTTTTTTTGAGACAAGGTCTTGTTACCTAGTCCAGGCTGGCTTCCAAGTTGCAGTGATCGTCCTGCCTTGGCCTTCCTAGTGTTATGATGAAAGGTCTGTACCACGATGTCTGACATTCCTTTTTAAATGCCTACTGACTTACCTATTTCTTGTATTCCTGAATTTTTTATTTCTTTCCCTGTGACAATCCATAAATGATGCTACTCTCCTATGAATCCTTAAAGTCTCTGAAACAACTCCTTTATCTTTTATCTAATCACTGTAAAACCTATAATATATTACTACATGGACAGCAGCTACATGAAAATACATGTTTTCTTTTTGTTATGCAATGCCAGAGAATGAACCCAAGGCTTTGCATATGCTAGGGTAGTTCTCTATCACTGAGCTACACTCCCAGCCCTGTAGGATTTTTCCACTAAGATAGGTCAACTGTAGAGTAAGAAAGTGCCCCACATTCCCAGGGACCTACCTGGAGGGATTGGTTCTCCCTGCCCAGCTCCTGTACAGCTGCAGTTGTATTATCCAGCTTTCTTTGCAATTCTAGAACTTTGGTCTGAAGCTTTTCTATTTCACCTTCTCCCTTAAGACATCTTATGGAAAAAAATTGCAAAGAGATCATTAATTTTTAAGAAATCATTAAAGACCTTTCTGGAATATAGATAATGGACTATTTGGTAATTTTAAATATATTGCATTAATTTCAGCTATCCAATTGCTTTTAAGGGCTGGCTTTTATTTCATTCTTTTTGAGACAGGGTCTCATTATGTAGCCCTTGTCAGCCTGCAACTCACTCTGTAGACCAGGCTGGCCTCAGACTCAGATGATCTCTAAAGGGCTGCTTACACACCTGCAGGGGCTACATACTTTCTTCAGTTCTTCATCTAGTGGGTAAATGGGGAATATGATAATCTTTTCATCACTTATGAGAGGTACAAACTTATTTTATTAGCCATCAGTCACCTTTCCAGTAGTGCTCTTCTTTCATCTTGATTGTTCTGAACTGTTGCTTCTAAGACAGCAATCTCACCCCGCAGATCATCTGTCTGCTTCTCAAGCTCACTCACTCTCCGCTGACTAGACTGCCACTCCCTCTTCACAGTGCCCAAGTTTTCATTCAGTGTTGTGATCTGCACAGCAAGCTTAGCCTCATTTTCTTCATGCTTCTTTACTCCTGCTTCCTTTTCTTTTATTTCAGAATGCTGTGGGGGGAAAAATGAGGAAGTGGGATATTATTGCAAAAGCAGTGCAAAATAATTTTTTACTTATTGAAACTAAAATACTGGAAATATAAATAATATTGCTTTTCCTGGAAAGGAGGCAGAACATATTTTATCATATACTAAAATACTGATTCTCCAAACATGTAATTTAAATGGGCTCAAATACCACAATGAAGAAATGATAGTCAGCAAGTCTCATAAGATCAAAGAACAACTTGAGAGAGTCTTCTTCAGTCCACCAGAGCAGAGCTAGAGACAGCAACATATCCTAGGGACATTTTTGAAATCTCCTCTGCTTCTCAATGCACCCTTCAAGTCTCTATCAGCCCACCAAAAAAATGTAACACAAACCTTTCAAATCACCTAAAACATTCAATGAAGTTGTCTGATGAGATTTGGAGTCAGTTCAATAGGAAAGCCAGATGCTTCCTAGGAGGCACACACAATGCAGGGAAGGAAAGGCAGACCTAGGTCATCATAATCCCAAACTCACGTTTCCGTTCTGTTATCAACATTCACTTTGACCAAACAAATGAACCTGATTAGATTTCACACCACTTATTCTCATGTATGTGGTTGTGGATTTGCTTATTTGTTTCTACACTAAAAATGTTTTAAAGTTATACTTAATTGGTTTTTTAACTCAGATAAACCAAAATATAATTACAGAATATAATTTATTGCTTCCAATCATACCAGCTTTTAAGGGAATTTGATGTTTTATTTCAAGAACCAAAATGTTAAGAAAACATTTCAATCATAACTTCTAGGTAGAAACATCTTACTGGACTGATTCAAAGTCTACTCATAAAAATATTTCCCACTATTAAATTAATTCACTGACCAGTTTAGCTTCTTTCTCAACAAATTCTTTCTTCAGCTCATCTTCCTCCTTTTTGACTTGTTCTTTTAGCATCTGCTGATTTTTCTTTTCCTGCTCAAGAGCTGCCTTCAGGGAGTCTACTTTGCCTTGAAGTTCTAATTTCTGCTGAATCAAAAGCTGTTTGGCATCTTTGAGATTTGTTACTTCCTATTAAAGACGGCAAAAAAAAAAGAAAAAATCACCCCTAGTAATCAATATTTCAAATTATAGCTGAAATTTATGCAATTTATCACAACAATAGACACACTGAGTTTTACCCATTGAGATTCTTTAACTTCAGTATTTCAGATAACTGGTTAAAATGCAAGATTATTTACTTCCTGTTCACCAATCATTTCATTCAGGTGATACTGCGCATACACGTGTTTTGATTCTAATATATAAAAACATCTCTATACCTTCCTTTCACTCTGCACACTTAACATGAGGTCATTTAGGCACCAGTGATTAGGTTCTGAAGACATCCTGAACTGCACAAATTCCCTGAATTAAGAAAGCACATACTGGAAGAACAGAGGAACCTGACATAAATTATCAGGAAAAATGGTAAATATGTCAACAGATACAAAAGGGAGCTTCAGGGGAGACTCTAACAACATTTTATAAAGCAAATGATAGACAATTTCTTTAATATACATTCTGTCTCTGCTTCTATAAGGGATAAAGTATTAAAAATAATTTTAGCCGGG